TCTGAGGTGGCAACGAGAGGTCGAGGTGCAGGTGTGGGATGCGAACAGAGCTTCCCAACAAGCAGAGCCAAAACTACCGAATTCAAAACTGGCTGGTTCCAAACGCTGGAAACGGTTGTTGATGTTTGTTGGCGTTGTTTGCTAGACAGGGAAGCTACGGCTTAAAAAATGACAGAACATTTCAGTAAAAACATTATATAGACAGCATGAAATGGCTCAAAGCCTACCACACAACTATAGACAGCTATAGTGAACTGAACTATTATCGGACTACTGATGTAGCAGGCATCGACTGTCCTGTAATGTCAGTGCTTTCCACGACTGCGAAGAAGTCGTTGACGGGAACGGTTTCGATTGTTTTGGGGTAAAAACCATGGTTTTCTGATGTTTTCTGTATTTTTCTTCCCACAAGCCAATCCGTTGACCATTTGCGTATCCCCAGTTCATTTGTGACATTTGCACATCAATTTTACTTGGCTAACTGAAGTTCACTCCCCATGGATATCAATGAATCCGGGGCTGCGAAATCTCAATCAAGTTGCCTTGATTTTGGAGTCGTCCTGCCCATCGTGGATCAAACTCAAAATCTCCTTCAAGGTGCTTAGCACGATCTGCTTGGACCTCGAGACGACAGCCCGACAGGGGCCAAGTGGCTGGATGGCGGTGCATCCTGGGAATGGTAACTGGTAACTGGGATTAACTGGGTATTATAGGTTCTAACCCGTTTTTTTTTTATTGGAATATCCCCAGTTATACTACTGTTATACGATGTATATATGTATAATAATTACATGTATCAGCCTAAATGATTAAGATGGGATGCTCATCCAGGTAGGGATGATAGGAGTGGATGGATGGCCCGTGGATGCAATGGAACAGATTGGCATGATTCATGGAGGGACAATGGTAGAAAGCTACATATGCATTCGTTAGAGCGGTGGCGCAATGTTTGCATCACACACTGCTGCAACATCTACTCGTACGAGAGCCTATGTAAGTAATCAAGAAAAACTATGAAAAACTATGATCCAAAAACATCCCAAAAACTCTGCACCTTTTCAGTGCCACGGTTTCCAAGCTACAAGAAACCTCAAACCCCTTGGTCCCTTGGATCCCTTGGCCATCTGGCGGAACATCTTTGGAACCGATCCGCCAGCTCGGCTTCAGCAGCAAGCCACCTATCCGGATCCAGCGCGTAGTGGTTATGGCTGGTTATTGCATGTGTTAAATGTTATTCATATGGTTGTTCTATGTTGTTTTAATGGGAAGATATGGGAACATTACCATGACCATCCAATAGCCATCATAAACCATCAAAGTTTGGGGTACAGTGAAACCACTGTCGAAGAACCTACTGCAATAAGAACTTCAGGGGCTGGATTGCTGGATCCAACCCTTTCTGTCGGCTAATTGAAATAAGAACCCTAGGGTACCCTGGAAATTCTAGCCACTGGTTCTTAGTCCCTTTTAACGTGTACCAATATACCAAGCATTGATTATTAACAGCTATTTCCCAAAAGAAAGATTATGTACCGCAGAACCTCCATGCCCAAGACAAATATGGTGCAACCCCAGGGAGATTCGAGTCTTTATGTAGTTACCAAGGCTGATGTCAACATCTTCAGCCAGATGCTAACCGGACTCACTGAAGGTCATCTGACCTTGGAGGCTGCCCTTGGCTTGTGTTGGCTTGTCTTGCCTGTGCTGCCTTCTTGGAATGCTGAAAAAACTTTTCGGGGCCTAAAAACCTAATACCACGCCAAAACAAATTTCAAGCCCTGGCATGGTGGAATATCTGGCCTATAGCTCTGTCTGGAATGCATGCACCTGAAAAAACTTTTCGGGGCCTAATTTTTTTCTTCTTCCCCCCACCTCCTTTGCAACCTAATACCACGCCAAAATGAATTGGCAAAACCCTCACCATATGAACCCCTTAAGAACTAACCCGTTAAGAACTTGAGGGTACCCTCGTTCATAATTTCCATATTTTCCACCTATAGCACTTAAGAACCCCAGGGGAGGCTGAAATTCTCAACCGATTCTTATCTAACGGTTCCGCTGTACCCTATTTTCAGACAAACCCACTTCATTGATACGGACATTGAGCCTTCGGAAACACACTTGGATCACTTGGATCCTTCCACGATTGTGACCCCACCTGTTGCATGGCAAAAGTCCCTGACCCAGATCGTGGCGAACTGATTTCCGCCAGCAACCTGAGGAAAGCAATGTGTCTGGCACATCAACATCTTATAATAAGAAATGACAACCTGTGACCATGTACTCCGGCAGGTCTTCTTTGACACGAAAAATTATGGCCATACCGTACCACAGCAATTCTTGGGGGGAGAAACAGCTATATAAAGTAAATTATCCCAAGAATCCCTGAAGGAGAACAGTGCACTCACAAAGAAGGAGAACAGGGCCATGCAACATCATTGTTTGGCAAAAATTGGTCTAGCAAGCACCTGAAATTAGCTAGCGGTCCCGTCCACAACCATGTACTACTGGTAGTACAGTACATATATGTATGAGAACTTCATAGATTATACAGTAGATCATAGTAAATCTATAAATCTGATTGAACAAGGACTACGACTCTGATTGTAGCTTATCCTATTTGCCAGTCCTACAGTTCCTACACATCTGAGAGAAAGCTCAGGTTTTTCATGAATTTTCAGGGACGGCCCACGATGGACTCCCAAATGGTCAAGTAGTGACAGTAATGATGCCCCCACCGGCTTCAGCGTCCCAGGGACACCAGAATAGAGGGTGTGATCCGCGAGTTTGTTTTCAAAGAGCCTCGACTGATCAATACTTTGCGCTCTGTGGAGAGGACCGGGTGTGCAAAGAAATGATATATATATATATGTTTGTTTGCAGACTATCAACACGGTTCAATTCAACATTTATCAACAAACCTATTTTGACTTTGAACAACATTGCTTGGTAATCTGATAATCTTGATACAACGCGACTAGCCAAGCCGCAGCTTGCCAACCGTCCTGTCGACCTTGGCCTGGAGAACTGTGGAATGGCATGAAGCAGGGAAACGTTCCAATGAATTCGCGGCATGTCAGCTATCATGGTAAAATTTGAGAACGTTTGATGAACCATCTGCGCATCATTTCTTTCTAATTCTTCAATTTTATAAGCCTCTTGGATGCACTGTCAATGAGATGGACTGTCAATGTGCAAACCCATCATGAAAAAATGAGACTCAAGATGCTCAAATTCATCACTGACATTGACAGCTGATCTCTTCAAGAAGGGAAAGCAACACCGCTTCACAGCCCCGAAAGCCCGACAGCCTCAAATTCCTTCGGATCGAAGGGCGGTGTTTTGGCTGGCTTTTTATGCCAGGGAAATATCGCCTAAGGCAGCTCCGGTTGCACAGATGCAACAGCTTTGGCGACTGGTTTGGCTGTATTAATGGAGCTTGAAGTATCACATTTTGACATTTGAAATCGGAGGTTTGGAAGTACCTTCCCTCATGGAGGCTGCAGTGGTGTCGTGTATGGTTCGGTCAAACATTTTTGATGCAACTCCTTCGTCAGAACAAAACTGCCTGTTGTGGGACAACGCAAAGTATGACAAACATGATCTTCTGAAATTCAAAGACCCTCAAAGACAGAATATATCTGTACATACACACAATACACATAGAAGACAACCACATGAGAACACACCAGCCATCTTCTCCCAAGGCTGTCAACCTAGTGACACAACCATTCATCCATCCATCCATTGATCCATGGTGTCTTTCATGCAAGTCACCTCCTGGTTGGCTGACACCAGTGCCAGCCCAGCAATATGAAGAAAGACGATCATCTGCCAGGACCTTAGAAAAGCACTGAATGACCCCATGTTTTTTTGGTTTGGGACTCCCATGGGACTTCCTCCATTTGGTATCCCAAATTGGGGGTATCCTCTAGGGGAAGCATACACAAATCGACCAATCCAAGATAGTAACAGTAGCATAAGCATAATTAATATTAATTGATGCAACATGGACAGCTTTCACGGACATTGGTGATGGGCCCGAAAGTTTTCATGTCCTGACGTTTTCTTCTGGGGATCAGGTGCCAACCACAATGGGTCCAGTATTTTCTCCCTTCGCTGCTCAAGGTCAGTAAACCACCCGCTGCGCCGCGTTCCAACTGCACATGACGGAGCGACGCAGCATGTTTCAGAGGTGCACAGTTCGCTGTACACTTTGCTCAAAGTCAAGGATCCACGATTTTCTTTGTTTTTTCTGTTTTTTTTGACTTGATTGGGCGTCAACCACACAGGTTTCATGGCACGGGGACCCATTAAACATGGGCGTTCCCCAGTGATTTATCTATGACAAATCAATCCTGTGGCACTTTTGGGCCACAGCTTAAAACATAAGTTGACTAAGTTGATTCATTGGTTTCAGCAGTGCCTCAGCCCTCAACTGGCACGAACGTGAATTTCAAGGCTTCCCTCAAGTCAATCGGAGCGATGCCTGGGTTAGCAGCGAGGGACAACTGTTTGGGTAGCCACTCAACGATTCTCCTTGAATAGCCACTGGTCATTTTCCCATCTTTCTCTGCAGTATCAAGCTCAACCAGTTCGTGCAACTGCAAAATACAGTGGGAAGTCCGACCCTGTTTCTTTGCCAATCTTGCTGACTTCACCATGACAATAATATTGAAAGTGGTGTATGCAAGCGTCAAACAGGTCCTTTGATAGCTGGAGTTTCGTGTCCTGGCAGTTAATGTGATTCAATATAGAATTGTGTGTGTATATATATATAATTATATATATATATATACGTTAACTACATTTAAATATATATACGGACTTTTAAATATACGAACAGGTATTTTAGACTACCTCCGTCAAGGTTTTTCTTGGCCCGCCCGGCCATTTAAACATACGGAATCCAATTCATTTAAACGTACGGTATCTACATTTAAATATACGAACTGGTATTTCATACTCCCTCTGGGGCCTCGCGGTCTGGCCCGCCCTCCACATATTTAAATGTCGCTACCGTATATTCCTCTCTACTGTATCTCTCTCACTCTCTCTCCATATTGTGTATGTGTGTGTGTATGTGTGTGTATATGTGTGTGTGTGTATGTGTGTGTGTATGTGTGTGTATGTGTGTGTATGTGTATGTGTGTAATGTAATGTAATGGTATGGTATGGAATGGAATGATATGGAATGGTATGGCATGTATGTATATAAATGTATATATTAAATTATATTAGCATATTATATCATAGGTATATATGGTCCTGCAGGTTGCCCGTACCTAGCTCATCCAGGCTGCCGAGGGCTTGACCACTCCTCAAGGTCTTGGGTGGCAGCACGGTACAGCCAGTACCGCCAGACATCAACAAGCCGTCGGTGGCCCAAGTGATTTGCTCAGCAAATTCATTGCTGCTCACTTTGATGCCATTGCCCAGATGCCGCAACATCTGACCATTGCCTGTGCTGATGCCAGTGGGTGCCGGGGTGCTGGGGTCTCCTTGAGGCTTACTCAATGGCTGGAGAATATGTTTAACTCATGAGGAAACAAAGAGTATACTGAGGAAAACCATGCGAAACTTTTGCGGCCACAGGGTCCCTTGCTAGACATGAAAGGAACCCCCTTTCAGATGGTAGAGAAAATCGTTTGTACCAAGCGCCTCGGGGAACCAAAGTTGTACCATTGATGAAAAGTAAGATGGGCAGCACCCCAAAAAGAGAGCTGTCTTCACCAGGCATTGAACCAATCTTGCGACTGAGAAGGTGATATGAACAGCTTCTCAGGATCCGCAGTATCAAAAAAATGAAAAAATACTGTAAACACAGAAAAATATAGAAAAAATACATCATAAATCTCAATGAGTTGCACAGTGACCGCAAGGTATACCTTTCAGGCCCCATCTGTTGTAACTGCCACAGTTGATTTGGGCGATGTCCTGGCAACTTCTTCCACAAAAACACCATCTCTTGCTGAGGATCGGCAGCATCCAAATCCAGCACCAAGTCAAGACCTGCAGGGTCTGTCGACACCCAATTGGTGAGGGTTTCATCATGTTTCATCCGTTTTCCACAAATCTTGAGTGGAATTAGCGTTATTGACTCTGATGCGAGATTGGAACACATGGAAAACTCTGTGCTCATAGAGATGTGCTGGTGGTGAGATAAATGAAATTACACAGATGCTTCTGTACTCACATTTATTTTGTCAATCTTCTGGACCTGTATACCTGTCCACATCTCTTAACTTTTCTCTTCCCATCTCGTATTGTTGTATCTTGTCTACCCTTTACATCCCTTTAACAGTGTACGAAAGATATCAAAAGATCGATTATCCAGAAACAAATTATACAATGCAAATCAACATTGCACCTTCCACTTGCAAGTATCCAACAGGCGATGCCGAAGTAGAAAACTCTGTCGTGATCCCGGTGGGGGCATGAGCTTCCGATGAAAGCTCAACCTTGGCTCACCAAGTGTCACAAAGCCCCGCAAGACAGTAAGCTGAAGCCACTGGAAATGATGGAAATGAATGATTAGGAAAGCCAATCGGGCAAGCGACACGCATCAGTGTCCAACATGACGCCAACACAATAGTCACCGTTTTCTTCTGGCAGCAACTCAGGCTCTTGGAAGCGGACTTCATTGGAGTCAATATTCGGATACCACCAATGTATCTGATGTATCTGTCATCATTTGCTCAAGCTTCACAATTTATGAATGTTTTTGATTTTTTTTGAATGTTTTTGCCAGGCAACGGGTACTTCGAATTCAAACACATTCACTGTGTGCTTCAGGTCCATAGCCGCGTTGGAAAACATCACCTCCAACAAACAGTGACGTCAGCTTTTGTGGATCCATGCTGTGTCTAGGCATGCCAAGTTGGGGGATAAAAATTACATTTTTCCTATCGCCATGTAGAATGTTGTAGGATGTTGTAAGTACATGTAAGTACTGTAAATCCCATGGTGTATCCCCTCTACCAACTTTTTTCTCAAACCTTCAGCGTTTTGAAAACAGCCTCAGTGCCCTCGAAGGACAGGGGCTTTACGCCAACTTCATCATGGACGTGACCAAAGCAGTGCATGGCTGGAGCAATCTGCGCCACCCGCTCCAGGAGCGCTTGGCAGCCCCAATGGTAGAACTTGCCATCCTGGGTCGCAGGTCTGGTGAGGTCTTAAGACAAGCAGCTGATATGGTCACATGCGTATTGTTGTATATAGTTCTTAATTAAAGCTGCTATGGCTGATATTGTAATTATTGTACAGTATTGGATCTAACCTACAAAACATTGGGATATGGATGGATCCCCGGATCATTTTCCGATACGGAACTGGGGGGTGATGAATGATGAACACCCGCAGACACAAGCAATCTCAAGCAAATTTGATGCTTGCCAGGGTTTGGTCGTATCGAGTCGTGACTCCATATTTGATCCCAGGCTCTGGTTGCCAGGCTAAGTCAAAGATCTGGTAGGGCGGCATGTGGGTGACCTGCGGCTCTGTCCCCAGATGGGACCCAGCCACATCTATGGGACATTCCATTGCCTCCGGAAAACTGCCGGCATGAATATATGGTAAGACTGTCTGAAAATGGATAATCTAAATCATCTAAATCCAAGTTACGGTCATTTTATGGGAGATATGATGATGCACCACGTAAACCACAGGGTTAGGGGCTCCCGTATTTTCAGACAAAACTCATATTGGGCATCTTCGAACCCTCAGGAGCGCGCCAAGCACTGAAAGCATTGCCAACACACTTCTTGTTGGCCCGCAAAACCGAGGACCACACATCATCTCACAGTTCTAACGTGCTAAAACGAATAATTAGTCAACACCCATTTATGGATATTTATGGTAATCTGATGTAATCTGTTTGGGTTTACCACATCAAATAGCCAAGTTTCATCCAGTTTCTACATCAGTTCCATTCTGTGATCCTTAGATGTCCTTAGCTTCGCCAAGCTACCAGGATATCTGTGTCCTTTGGGATGTGCTGCCAGCGCTCCGCGCGCTGTGCTGACGTCGTCGCGGGCCAGGCCATGGTGCATTGCGTCCAGGGAGAGCCGTAGAATTTGATGCCCTCGATGGTCACAGCCTCATCCACCAATAGGAACATGTTGCTGCCTGCAGGGATGCAACAAGGTAGATATGTAATGATATGTAGAATTCTGTATAATATAATATATTATAATATAATTATATAAAGTAGATCAAGGATGATCAAGGTAGCAATGTGGTAGCAACTACCCGTGACAGTGGCGGGTGTCTGCGATAGAGTGGGGACATCATCAAACAACGCTTTCTGTTTGAAGGAGTGCACTGTAGCACTTGAACTATGCACCCGAAATGTGGGCTAATCTTGTTCAGCTTTGCAGTCATTAGCAGCTGTCCATCGGATCTAGTCATGCAACATGAACTGGAAGCAGCAACAACCAGAACCATCATCATCAGGAACCCACAAATCCTACACCTCTTCTACATTCTTCTACCAATCTCTCATTTTCGGCCCACCTGGTTTGCACCCAAGCATGCGTCGCAAGTCCTCCACAGCGAGCTTGTCCAAGCCCAGCTCATGGTTGCCTGGCACCAGCACCTTGTACTTGTGGGGCAAAGCTTTGAAATAAGCCACGAAGCTATTGACCTCCTCCATACCATGGTGGATACCATGATTGGTAAAGTCTCCACTGTGAATCAGGATGTCAGCATCGGGCACATCATAAAAGTTTGCATGGGTGTCACTCATGTGCACAATGCTTAGGCACTTGGTGCCAGCAGGTGATGTGCTGTCTCGCACCCAGCGGCTCCGAACCATCCTGTCCGCACGCTTCTGTCTGGATCGAATCAACTCGGCCATGGCTGTGGTGCTGGCTGTCCGCTAGGTCCCCACTGGGCTGTTGTTACACTAAGAGCTTCAAAGGTCACGGCTGCAGAGGTATGAGATACTTGCACCATGCTGCAGGCCTAAATACCAGCCAGAAACATGAGCGGCCATATAACACCACGACTTTGCCAACTGTGAATTCCAACAACCTAGACATGGGATATTACCCAAAAATTGCATGACATTGCCATGTTAGCAGGGAACATGAACATCATGAACGATAAACCACGGAATTTCAAGGATTTTCAAGGTACTCCAATGGATTCCATCTAAGCCATGGCCCCGTCACCGTCCGCCGAGCTACTCCACGCTTGAGTTTTCGCAGAGGCCGGCTCCGTCTGCTGGAGCCAAACAGCAGGGCAAACGCATTGACCCGACAGACTTCCCAAGTGGGGTATCAACCAATCCTGAATCCTATCCAAACCTTATTTAGCGTGAACCAAATGTATCAAAATGTGCTGGATTTCCAAGGCATCAACACTCGTCAGGTTGCTGAAGTTGTTGCAAGGCTTAGTGGTCACGAACTAGTGAGGCAACCCATTTCACGCCAGTTCTATACATCCGTGGTCGAATATGGCCGATATCATGCACTATATAGCTCCCTGAACATGGCCCTTAGCCCTTCTGAAACCACAAAGGCGATTCAGATGGTAAACATAGCCAGAAGACGGCCGTATTCGGACCTAGTGGGACGATCATGATAAAGCACTCCCCTGCAAAAGCAGCTAATGTTCCTTGATCTAGCAATCTAGTACACAAGCTCGAGCCTTCTGAGCCATATCATGCCATATCTCACTCAAACCATCATCAAATATCATCAGTATCCAGGCCGCATTCCCAACCATTCTCAACCATTCTGGGTTTTCCGATCCGACAGAGTCAAGGCATCCACCAGGAACGCCAAGGCCTGCAGAACACCCCAAGGGTCTTTCACTGTAAGTGGTGGTGGATTTGATTTCTCTACATCTGCAGAATAAGCACGCCCAAACTTGGCAAAACAAAAACGTATGTGATCTTATTTACGTCAGCATGGCATACTGTCATATGTTGTCTACTTGCCGTGATCGCCTTTCAGGTCTATAGAAGGAAGGCACGCGCTACTCAAAGCAACACTGCCGCTTCGAAATCTAGCCAGTACATGCCAGTACAACGTAGTCAAAACCCCGTGCCTCTCAGCACCATCAACTACAACGATTTCCATCTACTTCCTGTACAGTACCATTTGAAGCGCCCATCTCTAATCTTCTTGTTCACTGAAACGCTTCCATGCTGGTAACCGCTGGCAACCTACAGCTTGCATCAGCTTGCCACATGTTGTCACCTCTGGAGTCGCTTTCTCCTCCTCCATCATGCGCGCAAACCAGTCCTGTAGGAGTTGATGCGCCAATTTTTCAAAATCACAGCCACTGAATTGCTCCCTTGCCCGTCGAGAACCTCGAGGTTGCGAAACAAAAACACCATAAAACACCGTGATCGTCATTTTCCGAAACAGTGAGGTTCAACATGGTTCAGCCTGGTTTATATCCGATATTGTAACGAAATTGGACATCCCATTTTTTCGTACAATGAATCCAAGATGCAATCTCACTTCTGTCAGCTCCCCCGCCCCGTTGCAAATTCTGCCCTGCTCCACCTCTGCTTGCGCAGCATCACCCACAGATGCCCAAGCGCCAATTACTGCAGTGTAAGTTTCACCTGGGCAAACACAACTCGAATTGGTCACCATATAATATCACTATCCACATCAGCTTTGAAACTGTCACACTTGAGCTGTGCAGTGCTTGTTGTTGCAAAAGAAATCAATCAAAACAAACCCATGGTCCATATGTACCACAGTATATACTTTATTATTGTTTACAGTATTATCATTGTCATTATCATTATCATTACTATTATCATTATTATCATTATTATTATCATTACTATTATCATTATTATCATTATTATTATCATTATTATTATCATTATTATCATTATTATCATTATTATTATTATTATTTTTTTTTTTTCCATGTTGCCCACAGCTGCTGCACCTCATAGGTGTCTTATATTCGGCCAAAAATGGCGCAGCGTAGAGCTATGCCGTTCTGACCGTATCATTAGAAATGAGGAGTCTAAGGCTGGCACAACATTATTATTATTATTATGAAGCGACGCGCGAGGGGTCGTGCGTGAAAAAAGCCTGGTCTCAAGAACCCTTTCCCCTGAGTATCCTTATGAATCTACCTTGAGGGTGGAAACTGTGATCAGCGTGAAACGAAGTACCATTATGGAAATGGTATGACATGTAACGACCATTTGGAACATGTACTTATGAATCCTAGGGTGTATATATATATATAATATAATATAATATAATATAATATAATATATTATGTATATATTATGTTATATCCATACGTGCCATGGTCCAAACATGGTGGGGATGACCATCACATCACTCTGAGCTGGGTACTGTCAATGTCGATCTTGGCATCCAAGAGCCTCAAGCATTTTTCACGTTTTTCACGTAACCGCTAGGTGATGCTAGGTGTGGAACTTGCGAAAAGGGCAGAACAACTCGTCAAAACCAGGGAATCACCAAATGGCACTGGACCTCTGTGACCACTCTTCCACCGTCTCGCGGGGTCGAAAGGAACGGCCTTGACAGCAGCATGTCTCCAAGGCACTGAGATAGATCATGTTTTTTTCTCTATTGATGTTTGACTTCCCAGTGCAAATGTATATGTCAGCGTGCTATATATATACAATAGTTTATGTATGTTACGCATGTATGTTTATTTGTATATGCAATGGAATGAAAATGCAATGCAATGCAATGCAGTGTAGTGTGGTATAGTGCAATGTCATTACCGTAACGTAACGCAATGTAGTGTATACAGTAATGTACGTGGAATCATACACATGTCCATATACATATACATGCAGAATATATATATAGTATATATATATACATTTAATATGACATATGTATATATATATATAATTATACGTATATATTATATATAATATATGTATAACGTGTTTCACCGCCCCACCCAGTGTTTTCAAGTATTCTATATGTGCACGTTTCAGAGATGTTGTGCACGTTTCCCAGCAGTTGTGCACGTGTCACAGAAGTTGTGCACGTTTCACAAGCCCCCTAATAACGTTCATGTTCAACTGTATACACACTGAGCGCATTCTACTCAGCAAAAGCATTGGGGCGACCAAACACGTTCTCCCGATATTTTTATATACATCCTCATATATATATATATATTTATATATATTATATTATATATACATACTGTATGCATCTGTATGCCATATAAATTTGAAAGACGCAGCTCCATATACTGAAACATGTATATACGGTATAAGATGTTAACATAGCAAGACCCAAATATCGGCCATATTCTCAGGGCGTGACCATCCCCTGTGAGCAAGGCATAGAACTCAGCTTCGGGCACCTCCTGCCTTGCCGGATGTTGCCGGGCTCTATGACTCGCCTTTTCTTATTTAAGGCCCGAGGTTTTCCTGTCCTTTCTGCTTTCAAAGATTGAAGATTTTCGAGAAAACAGCAAAATACTGCAAACATGTTCCTCACATCTTTTTGTTTCTCCTATCTCAGCAGCATTGCTCCACTACGATGTGGGGCCGTGCAGCCTGTCCATCTTAGAAACTACCCGTCCATTACATATAATTATCGTTACATGCTTCCCACCACATACGAAACGGCTCCGCCTGTCTTTCTGCATCTCATCAAAGAGATCTTCCGCCTCCTGCAGGACTGCAGGATGTCCTAAGCCTCCAACTCCAATAATTGAACCATATGGAACCATGAAGATCCCCAGAGTTTTATGGCTTCACTCGGTTTGTTGCAAAATATCCAATCCTTTTAAATCATGTCTAATCCAATGTTGCGCATGCTTGGCCAAAGCATCCGATTATCGTACATGATGCTGGCCTACCTCTCTGAAAGTGACATGAGCAGCTCTCTTTGCTGCAACCCAACGAGCGACAACCACATCTTTACAAACATCTTGCTACAGCATGTACACTTTCCTTGCGACAGAAGTCTTGCTTCTATCATCTGATCCTAGAAATCTCCGACACAACTCCAACAATACTCCAACCCAGGTTCCAACCTGCAGGAGCCCCATTTTCGCATAGGTGGCAATCAGCAATTTGTAGGTGTCCACCTGATATGGCATGCCATGCATGGCATCCGTCACAAGAGGATCCACTGATCCACTTCCATTTCGCTGGTGTTTGGTCCCCGGACGTTGGGGATGAGGCCCAGTCGCTTGGCGATGGCCTTCCATTCAATGGCCTCGAGAGGAAGGGGACGTCAGTTGTTGGTGAAAGATATGTTCTCCACATGGTGCAGAAATGAATGAGTTCTGTGTTGCGAGTATTTTTTGTATCTGTTTGAGTCGTAAGACGTACCATGCGAATCTTGTTTGTTGCAACTACATCGGCACGCAGTGACCTATCTGGTGCTCTGATCTCCTGAAGTTCCAAAAAACAATGTCATCATTGGAAGATAGCCGGCATGAAACCACTGACGAGACGGGTACGACACCACGATTTAAACTTATTGATCCAAACCACGCTTGGAAACGGTTCAACCACGAAAAAAACATAAAAAAACGCTAGTTTTAAACCACGATTTTGGTTTGTTCAGGCAGCACGTATATTAACCAAATCTCTCTTGTAAAGCTTTTTTGGGTTTCATTTGGTTCGTTTGAAGCTAAATTATGTGCATATTAGTGCTTCTAGTTCGGAAAAGGGATTATATTATAAGTCGATGATGTGGCATTCCATTTGTAAATTCTTTGGTAGTTTTTTTTTTTTGTGAACAGTTTTCTAAGCAATGGGATGTTAAGGAATTTAAAGGAATCTTAAGGAATTTCAAAGAATTTCAAGGAATTTAAAGAATTTTAAGGAATTTTAAGGAATTTTCAAGAATTTCAAGGCATTTTAAGGAATTTTCAAGAATTTCAAGGAATTTTAGGGAAGTTTAAGGGATTTAAAGGAATTCTAAGGAAATCTAAGTTAATTTTAAGGAATTTAAGGACGAAAGCTTTGTGTTGAGAACGAAAGTTTTGTGTTCAGGACGAAAGTTTTGTGTGAAGGACAAAATTTTGGAAGTTTAAGGAATTTTCACAAAACTTTCGTCCTTAAAATTCCTTAAAAGTCTCTAATTTTCCTTAAATTTCCTTAAAATTCCTAAATTTCGTCCGTAACACAAAACTTTCGTCCTTGGCCCAAAACTCTCGTCCTTAAAATTCCTTGAAATTCCTTACCAGAATCACAGACCTAGCACTAGAAAGAATCACAAACCTAGCAAGGACAGATGGTCAGGAACATGTGTGAAATACAATAAAAAATGCTGAAGGATTTTTTTTTTTAATGTGATATACTAGACAAAACATATAGAAAACAATAAATCGTGGCCAAGGTGATTAAAAGAAACGTAGTATGGGTATAAGATTAATTCGAGGTACATGAAAGTCAAGTCATAGTAGCAAGAATTAAATCGTGGTTGGGGCCCCATGTAAACCAGAGACGCCTCCCCTCAAATCAGAAATTGGGGAACCTTCAAACTCCTCCACTTGACTCTCTTCTTCAATCAAGAGAAACCAAAAGGGTTCGAGGTATTCAATCCTATTGCACTACGGTGCATTTTTTGTGGCATTCCATGGTACGGCCAGTTGGGGTCTGGGTCAAAACCCTTCAAAAGCCTGGTTGCTATTGGGTGTAGCCAGGCGGTAGTTTAATAGCCTATTGTACAAAAAAAATGTATTCCCATAAGCTTTCCATGGTTCTTGGGTTGATAGCTCTCTATTATTCTCCATTTAGTTCGAATTTGAAGAATTTTTTAAGTAGCAAAACTACAGTGAATTACCCATCCCCAGTTGATCCCAGTTGGTTTACCTCTACGACTTACCTTACTCAAACTCTACATGTCTGATGGCCTTCTCCAGGTTCTCTTGGTCAACGTATGCCCCGATGATCTCGTTGACCTCGCGTGGGGGTATTTCTCAGTATATGTATATGATTGTATATGTATATTTATATTTATACAATAATACATCATAGATTCATATCAAGTATATCATACAAAGCTTCCAAAACATATATCTGGATTCTGGATAGAGCACAATAATTCACTCACCTGAAATATGGTTGTTTTGGGAGAGCGACCCCTACGAATCAATCATAATCTATGGCGACGTCACAGTGACAGGCGATGATAATAATCTACCCATGTATGTATGTATGTATGGATGGATGGATGGATGTATATGTATGCTTGTATGTATATGTATGCTTGTATGTATAGGTATATACAATTACATATGTATATGCATGTATGTATATATATGTACGTATATACATACACATTATATTGAGTATCACTAACTATCAAATATCGTAAATGCATGTAAATGCACCCGAACATGATACATCAAATGAGCAATACCACAAGCAACACAATAAGCACATAAAGGGCTGTCATGCATCTCAACTGGTGCAGGACTCCTTTCATCCGCGCTAGGGGAGAAAGTGACTCAAGTCTGTACCTGCAGGATATCCTGGCTTGTGCCATATGCTTCGGTGTGAACGTCTCACGCAGACCGGGGCGAAACATGACGAAACTAATACGTCTGTGTCAATCTGGCTTTCTTGTGTTTTTTTTGCATTCATCCCTCAACCTGCATGCAGATAATCAATGCGGAGGCCAGCTATTGTGGTCGCTTCGATCACTGCACCAGCTCAAGAGCTTGTTGTTTGCCCCAATAGTCCACTGGGTTTCTCCTACCAGTACCACAAGATTTCGGGCTCAAACCATGCTATCAGGTCGCTCATCCTTCAGCTGGGTTGCGCAATCCATGTCCGGCTGCAGCTGCATTTGCATCAACCGCTCAAACCAGGTCTCCACTCTCACCTCAACTGACACAGTTCGACAAGCAATGCCAGTGTTGGGCATCTTCAAACTGACACGATCTCTCTCTCTCTCTCTGCACAAGCAACACCAAGCGTGGTGATCTCTGGCAAACAATACAATAAGCCAGGCTCCCCAGCACTGTCGCCAGATTTCCTCAAAGATCGCAGCAAATACCTCAGAGGATTTGAGGGTTGCACAATACAGCAATTGCATGTAAACATATATTGTAAGGGTGGTGACATGTCCTAAATAATCGAACATATGCCCTATCCAATTTCACAACGTCAAAAAGAAGTGAGGACCGTCTCCAAGTATTGAAGGCGATACTTGAACCCACCCAAAGTGGCATATGTCCTGTATTGTGTTGTATCAATCTCAATGCTCCTGGGCGATCAAAGCCCACTATCCAAACCATGATTCTTTCCGAAACTTGGCCATCCTTAAGTTCAAAACAGTTCAATCATTCATACATATTCACAATATATATATATATATAGTTATTTTGCTATATTCGCTGGGCCATATATACATATTGATCAATATTCATCAACATTCTATCTTGACATGCGCAATAACAAGCAATGACAACAAATTCACCCTTCGGTCTATGCTGGTCCTTTGCAAGGTACAGATAGTTACGGTACTTTGGGAACTCATTGTATCTCTTTGAAATAAACAATCGATGGGATGGGAGACAATGGGATGCAATGGGTCAATGCCAAATGGTGGTATCAACGTACAGTAACATACACACACACACACACATCTGTAACATGGTTAGACAACGTCAGAACTCGCGCACCCGATGCGCCAGTAGCCAGGAAGCACTGGACAGCAAAGAACCGGACATTTCCGCATTGACCCACTGCCAGTACCCTACCGCCCCCAGTGGGTTTCAGGGTGGGCGGGCCCGGAAATCAAATCAAAAGGGAGGGTGGACCTTGAGTCTTCACGCATCAGGTCCATATGCCTACTTTTCGTGGGTGGTAAAACACTCAGCACGGATTTGTTGCTCAGAACTCCCAAATCAATCCGATACATTCTAAATATTTTTCAATAATTACATCTCAATACAATACATCAACGCTTTAAGAGTCTACCTTACCCTGCCTCCTTTTCAAAACATCCGTAGATGAATACATTCAACAGCATCTAGATATTATCATCCCTGAGAAGCGAACATTGCTGCAACTACTGACTACTAAATCTGCCGAGGGAATTCGGAAGGCATGGGACAGCATGGTTCCAGGAATATGATTTAACAATTACTTTACTTCGTGTGATCCCCACCATGACATTTATACATTTTGTTACTGGCAAATCTTCTGGCATTCTATCTGACATATTTTCTGGCATTCGATCTGGCATTCTATCTGGCATATCTTCTGGCATTCTACCTGGCATATCTGCTGGCAGATGTTCTGGCATATCTTCTGGCAGATGTTCTGGCATATCTTCTGGCATTCCATCTGGCATTCTATCTGGCATATCTTCTGGCATATTATCTGGCAAATCTTCTGGCATTCCATCTGGCATTCTATCTAGCATATCTTCTGGCATATTATCTGGCAAATCTTCTGGCATTCCATCTGGCATTCTATCTAGCATATCTTCTGGCATATTATCTGGCAAATCTGCTGGCATTCTATCTGGCAAACATTCTGGCACTTTATCTGGCATATCTTCTGGCATTCTATTCTAGCTGACATTCTATCTGGCATTCTATCTGGCATACCTTCTGGCATTCTATCTGGCATATCTTCTAACATTCTATCTGGCATTCTCCGGCACTCTATGTGGCATATCTTTTGGCGTGGATACTCGCGGTTGAGGTCCGGCAGGGAACACTGGGCGTGGATGGTCGTGGTTGAGGTCCGGCAGGGAACACTGGGCGGGGATGGTCGTGGTTGAGGTCCGGCAGGGAACACTGGGCGTGGATGGTCGTGGTTGAGGTCCGGCAGGGAACACTGGGCGGTCAGGTCCGGCAGAGAACACTGTGGATCGCGGGTCGCAGTTGAGCAAGGACGACGAGGACGACGAGGAGGACGAGGAGGAGGAGGAGAGGAGGACGAGGCAGGAGGAGGCGGAGGAGGAGGAGGAGAGGAGGAGAGGAGGAGGAGGAGGACGAGGAGGCAACTGACATAAAATCTAACAACCCTCACCTGGCAGGTGGGGAAAAAGTAGAATTTACAGTACTGTACTGAGCCCCCACACTTGAAGCTCTGCAGCGAAGGTTCATGTCCCTCCTGCATCGCCGTTACGTCTGGTAAACCTTGATCCTCAAATGCTACAACTAAGGTCGGTGAATATCAAACATTTTCTGGGTCACCAACTTCAGAATGATAGTTATAAAAATATAATAATATATATATATATATTATATAATTATATACAATAATATATAATGGATACAATGGTCTGCAGATTTGTCCTACTTCACGGACTTCCTAATGCTAAAAGTGCATAAAAAGGGCCCTGGACACCGCTGCCTGCCATGCTTCGTTCATCCACTGCTCAGCTGCAGTAGGATTGCCTGCCTCAAAAGAGCGAAATCCTACGGTTTTCTGTGGATGATGCGGATGGGATTGCAACGAAAAACACATGCAGAAAAAACATCTGAAACACCTTGGAGATGCAACGAGAAAAACCTGGCAGGAGAAAGTCGTTGACATATGTTGAAATCCCGGAGCATGAAGGCATTTCAAAGACATGCAATGCGAAAAAAACCGTTCACAATGGCTACATCATCCACATCTCACAATTTCTTTTGCCCTTTTGATCAGGGAATTCAGTAGGATGATCGCTACCATCATCTCCGGCAACTCGAACCCCTTAAGCAAATGTTTGAAGTTTGATCCTAGTACTTGTAGAAAGTACTTCAGAATTTTACGGATACGTAAACGTAGAATTATCTATGCAAGAGATTGCACATGTACAGCACTATAACATAAAATACACATACAGTAGACAGAATTATAGAATCAAAAAGGATAGAAACATACCGGAGCTGATGGAAAAAAGAGATCGGATGCGTGCACTTCGGGGGCTGGATCTGACCGGCTACCCTCTTGGGATGATTTTGTGATAACTATCTTCTTGCAGTTCTATGCAGTTTTATTTTTCGATAATTCACTTTTCCCGGAAATGGCCGTCCAGGATGACCAATCTGTCAAGACAAGTATATATACAAATTATATACACATCTGTTGATCAGGCCAAAATCGATTTCATCACTTTAGCATTGGTTTCACGCAATTGTCCAACCTATTTCAGCCTTTTGCCATTGGTTTCAATCACTTGTCCAACCATGTCCAACCTATTTCATTGTTTTTTCATTGGTTTTCAGCAGTTGTTCGACATATTGCAACATTTTACCATAGGTTGTCATCAGTTGTTCAATCTGTTTCATTAGTTTGAGCATCGGCTTTCATTAGTTTCTTTTTCCCGGTTTTGGGAACAATTTTAAAAGGAGTTCTTTGTTCAAAAAACACACTTCAGGAGCTAGATCTGACCAGCTACCCTTTTTGGATGGTTTTGTGACAACTATCTTCTTGCAGTTCTATGCAGTTTTATTCGTCGCTTCGCGACGGCAACCGCCCGCACCGCATCGTTGGGCAGCCGCTCGTAACTGCCAATGATGTCGGCCATTGAGACCAAAAACATCCGAAAGTACTGATTGTCGGAAAAAAAACCGCGAAGAATTTGATAGCCATGTATAGCGGACCAACGCAGTTCAAAAAATAACGAAAAACATGAAAAACGGCGAAATTGCTGTTATTTACAGTGTTTTTGCGCGGTGAGAAGCAGAAACCACTGCAAATACCATGGTTTTTGAGGGTCAGGTGGCCAAAAACACTGTAATTTACAGTGTTTTTTTAACCAACGTCAAAAAACACTGGTATTTACGATGTTTTCATTCACACCGTAACATAAAACAGCGTAATTTACGAGGTTTTTGGAAGTTTTGAAGCTAGCCGTCAAGCATGCAGAAAACAGAAAAACACTGTAAAAACCAGTGTTTCTGCTATCACAAAACGACGAAAATCAGTCCGAAAACGGGTCCAAAAACTCAAAAATCCGCCTCCGGGCCCGGCCACCTGCGGAACCGCAAAAAAAGATGTTGCAAACCAAAAAATTGAGGTCAAAAAGTTGAAAAACACGGGGTTTTTTCACTTTTCGCTTGCCGATTTTGGACGGGCGCGTTCACGAACAGGTGTCTTCCGTACTGTTTTTTACAGTGTTTTTTGAAGGCGAGCGTCACGACCTATCAAAAACAGGAGGTTTTGGCCGAAAAATGGGAACCCCCCCCCCCCAGGTAAACCTGTAACCTTTTACGAGTGCCATCCGGAAGATCACGCCCCAGCACCTTCGGTGCGGGCGGATTTTTCGATAATTCACTTTTCCCGGAAATGGCCGTCCAGGATGACCAATCTGTCAAGACAAGTATATATACAAATTATATACACATCTGTTGATCAGGCCAAAATCGATTTCATCACTTTAGCATTGGTTTCACGCAATTGTCCAACCTATTTCAGCCTTTTGCCATTGGTTTCAATCACTTGTCCAACCATGTCCAACCTATTTCATTGTTTTTTTCATTGGTTTTCAGCAGTTGTTCGACATATTGCAACATTTTACCATAGGTTGTCATCAGTTGTTCAATCTATTTCATTAGTTTGAGCATCGGCTTTCATTAGTTTCTTTTTCCCGGTTTTTGGGAACAATTTTAAAAGGAGTTCTTTGTTCAAAAAACACACTTCGGGAGCTAGATCTGACCAGCTACCCTTTTTGGATGGTTTTGTGACAACTATCTTCTTGCAGTTCTATGCAGTTTTATTTTTCGATAATTCACTTTTCCCGGAAATGGCCGTCCAGGATGACCAATCTGTCAAGACAAGTATATATACAAATGATATACACATCTGTTGATCAGGCCAAAATCGATTTCATCACTTTAGCATTGGTTTCACGCAATTGTCCAACCTATTTCAGCCTTTTGCCATTGGTTTCAATCAATTGTCCAACCATGTCCAACCTATTTCATTGTTTTTTTCATTGGTTTTCAGCAGTTGTTCAACATATTGCAACATTTTACCATAGGTTGTCATCAGTTGTTCAATCTATTCACCCCGCTTCGCGTGGGGTGGCCGCCCACACCGCAGGTTTATTTCGGTCCGTGAGAGGGGCTAAGGGCGGTTTTCCCCCGTGGGGGCTCTTCAAGCTAAGAAGTTTCAATAAGAAATCCTTCCAAAACATTGTTTTTGACAGTGTTTTTCCAATGTTTCCAGTCAAACAGACGGTAATTTACACGTTTTTTGCCATAAAGGCAGTAAATCCTTCCAAAACATTGCTTTTGACAGTGTTTTTGTAATGTTTCCAGTCAAGCATACGGTAATTTACACGTTTTTTGCTATAACGTCAGTCCAAAACACTTGTTTTTGCAGTGTTTTCAATGCTCTGGCATCCAAAAACCCTGCAAAATCTTGCTATGTACAATGTTTTTTCATTTTTGGCCGTTTTTCCATTGCCGGAAAGCTACCAAAATGACCCAAAATTCCATTTCAATACCCTCTTGCGCTCAGACACCCAAAAATCCTCGAAAAATGTCGAAAACACCACCGTATTCTGGTCTCGGTGCGAAACCGTTTTTGGGGTCTGGTCTCGGTGCGAAACCGTTTTTGGCCCCCCCCCCCCCAGCTAAAGCTGATATAGCGACTGCTATATTAACAAATGTCATTGAGCATTTAGTGTTGCTGTTGCCCCCCAATAAGCACGCCTTCACCGCCAAAGCGGTGTGGGCGGATTTCATTAGTTTGAGCATCGGCTTTCATTAGTTTCTTTTTCCCGGTTTTTGGGAACAATTTTAAAAGGAGTTCTTTGTTCAAAAAACACACTTCGGGAGCTAGATCTGACCAGCTACCCTTTTTGGATGTTTTTGTGACAACTCTCTTCTTGCAGTTCTATGCAGTTCTATTTTTTCTATAATTCACTTTTCCTGGAAATGGCCGTCCAGGATGACCAATCTGTCAAGACAAGTATACATACAAATTATATACACATCTATTGATCAGGGCAAAATCGATTTCATCACTTTAGCATTGGTTTCACGCAATTGTCCAACCAATTTCAGCCTTTTGCCATTGGTTTCAATCAATTGTCCAACCTATTTCATTGTTTGTTCATTAGTTTTCGGCAACTGTTCAATACAGGGGCAACATGAATTATAGAAACAATCAAAAGTCACCGACGGAATTATAGAAAAAGCCCTGGAAATGGCCAAAAGTTAAACGATAAACACATATTTTTTTGTTGTCAACCCTTTTGGGGAAAACTGAATTATAGAAAAAGCTGATACGGCAACTGCTCGGTAAATTTATATCCTGTTTTTTCGAATAATTCTGTCGGTGACCATACACGTATCGGGTATTCAACACCATCCCCCAAACGATTCAGAAAAGGGCAATTCTGAGATGTTTTAAGACTATTTTAGAATCAACATTTACTTTTCTAGTCTATCCTTTTTTTGTGGTTGTCAATGGCGGAGAGTCATCGTTTGCCCCCAGGGCCTCCGCTGCAACGTGCATTAGCTCCTGAAAGACTTCCATGGTGGGCTCCACCTGCCATAACTTTGGTATGCGGTATGGCCATGGCCCATTCTTGAACACTACCATATCAAGTTGTTGATACATCCCATGTATCCCCTTTATATCCTTAGTGGTTCTTAGTGTAAGCCACGAATTGCCAAGCGAATCCTCTCTCCGCCAATGGCCTCCAAGGCCTTCATGCGGAAGAGCCAGCGCTCTGCCCGGTCCACATCTGCATTGGGGGCGCAGGAAGCCTGGCTGAACATCACTTTTAAGAGGTAAATGATCTACAAACGGGCCATTTTCATCCATTTTCCATAGCTGTCTTAAATTACCAGAGGGTAGATCTTAGCAGTTTTTGGTGACGGATTAATAGCTTGGAACCATCTGAAACAAGGTGATTCACCATGTGATCATGATTTAAAAGCTACAAACACACACTCACACACACACACATTCATTGACTTTTGCTCTCTGAGATGCGGAAACCACCGGCTGGTAGAGCAACAGATGCGATGGATCCAGGAATCACCCGAGGTGTTCCCCCTTGTTTGACCAAGACGCAATGATGGCGCTGAAGTGTAGAGACTCAGGCCTTGTGGCGACCCAGATATTGCCAGGACGAGTTCCCACCAGATATGCACCCGGCATCTGCAAGTGCTGTTGATCACAGTACACTTAATTACATAATTAACTATTCCGATTTTTTCAGGAAATCAACGAGATGATGCCCTGCGAAGTAAACTATCAAGGCTAGAGGCAGGGAAACTCCCTCTGAATGTATCTTTAAACGCTGTAATGCAGGTCATTGCAGGTCTCACGATTAAGGACCCCGCATGAAACATACTATTTGAAACCCAAATCCATTCTTCTGCTGTTAAGAGATCCTTAATTTTCGCTTAGCCTGCCATTCAAACTCCGACCTCTGGTTGTCACGTCTGTCCCTCATGGGATCCCAGGGGTCCAACTTCACTCCTGCATCGATCATCTCGTACAGAGCATCCTGAAGGCACTGGGATCAGATACCCTGGGTCACTGGAGTTTAAACTGTCCCTTTTTGGTTGGCACAAAGTGCTTGGCGTGAGAAATAACCGCTGGCCACCAGTCTAAGTTGTGATCTTATATATATATATTAATATTATATATATATATACATGCATAAATACATAACGACAACAATGAACATCATAGATGTATTACGCCTTCGCCAATCTCAATTTCACTGGGCCTCCGCTTCGTTGGCCAAGCCCTGCGATGCCAAATCCCTGTTCAGACGAGGAATGGTCCATCCAACCGGGTTCCAGGAACAGAACATCTACGGGATTAACATGGTTTAGCAGTTTGAGCAACAAAAATGGCTTGAACAACATCCGTTGCAGCTCACAAAAACTGCGGTCAAGCAACAAGCATGATACCCGGGACATTCACGTTGTTGATGGGATATGACTGGGGCATTTTCTCTTCGCAGGTCTAAATACGAGAGGGCAACTGGTTCATAATTGGCAAATAGATCTGGAGAATAAGTTTCTAGTATCTCATGCAGCTCAGGAAACATACGATTCTGCTGCAAAACAACAGGATGCCTTCAGGTTGACCTGCAAGATGATCTGATTTGAAGCGAGGGATAATCAATCCATGGGTTGAGAGAAAATAAGATCCACATTGAATCTGTTGGGGTACCACGCCCATAACACGTACCAAATCGTATTACAGTTCATATGTTCATATCATATCAGTTTCATGTCTTTCAAAAACCTGCACGCTTGGCACTTCATTGCAACAAGTGTCAAACAACAGTGTCACCAATATTTGCTAATCATACGGACTCTGGATTGGTGCAACAATCGCTCACTCATGCGGACATTCGTTGTAAAACCTTTATACCACCAGCTATGCTCAAAGCACATTCAAAGGATTTTGCGTACTCTGTCAATCGTGGGAAAGGACAATTCTCAATTTGTAGGCGATTTACCATGATTTACCTATATAATCCTACAATATATAATTATATATATATTATAATTATATATTATCTTGTTATACTGAGATATACTGAGAACATCTGACAACAGGGATTTCCGATTGCCAGGTTTGATGACAGGAGCTCAGCTCAGGCCGCGAGGCCTGAGATTCCGCAGTTGCGCATCAACCTCCTGCGTCCAAATTCGTTGGGGTGCTCTGACAAATCTGACAATGGATGAAAATGGCGAAAATTGGGGGAAATCGGCTACCCATGGCTAGTCCATTCCATCCGATGTTCCATCCCATTCTTTCTCATCATTTTCCCTAGAAACATTGCCATTTTGGGGGTATCCCTTCCTGGGTCTCGACTTCTGCCACAGCTCTCAGTGGATGAGGTGACCTTCCAGAGCCGCAAAGTGATGATGATCAACCATCGAAATTGCTGGCATGTACCCTGTGAAACAAATCCATTTGGGAGAACATGTCCACAGCCCAACAAGTACTGTCAGCGGGCGGGTTCAGGTGCTTTAAGAATCGCTGGACTGGCCATGTTGGCATTTCGAATTCTCGGGGAAAAAGAGGAGCTGGATAAACAAACCCATAAACACCGGGTCAGCAGGGTCCTCATGATTCCTACTGTAAGACACTGACGTTCAGTAGCGCCTATATGTTAACTTCTGACTTTCCCAAGAATCTTTGCAGAACTGCAAATCACAAGTTCGGGCCTCTGCTGTTCAGAGCTACTTGGCTTGAAATGGCTTGCCCGGCATCAACATGGACTTTTAACATCCTGGAACTCACCCAAATGGATCGGATATTATGGTTCAAATTCATTTACGCAATGTTTGGATGCGTTTATATTCTTAAAACTTAACACCAAACATAATCAAACATGACCGACCATTTGGTCCAAATGAGTGCCTCGACTCAGCTATCGTCGTTGCAGCGTGCCTTCTCAGCCCAGGCAGCTGACAGAAGCAAACACCACCAATGGCCGCGAGGACCTCATCTGCAAAGGAAATCTAAAGTGGGGATGGATCAATATGTGTATATATATAATATATCAACACCTATATATAGTAGCCTATAATTTATAATCATCTATAATCAATGTTCATTGATGTTAAAATGATCAAAACCATTCAAAACCTGAGATTTTTATGAATGAGGATGACCATCCATTCATATTTGGGGTGTTTTTGGGGGATGACCATCCAGTTATGCCAGCTGTTTTTGGTTGCCCCAGTGGTTGGTTCAGAAAAGTACCGTTGGGTGAACTGACCCGTGTCCACTGACAGCGTTTCCCACATTTGGGTAGTCACAATCCCCATTTCACATGTTAGTATATGTTAGTGCAACCCCACCAATAAGCATTAATCAAGTGTCCTGTTTGCAGCTCATGCCCTTTGAATATCTTTGAATGGTTTGAGCAATACCAGTACAGGCAGTAAAGCCTGGTATAATCACAATATTATCAACACTAACCAACAACTAGCAGCTAGCATCCATCGCCAGGATGCCATGAACCGACAGCTTTGCCAACTTGCTGAGGCCCATGCGCCATATCTGAGCAGCCTTAGGCTGCGCCAACCTTCGGAAATGAGGAGTACTGAGCACTGGTGGAAGAAAACTCATTCCGCCACGTGGATCCCCTTCGGATTGCACATAAATGTGTCTGTGTGCCTGTGTATCTGTATATGTATGGATACTCATTCTATATTATGAATTCCAAGAAATACTCCCCGTTGCTGAAAGGAGTCCGTCAGAGACTGGCCTCTCAGTGGCACCTCCACGGGCATCGGAGTTGCGTTTCAGTGTGAACTGCCTAAGCTGTCTATGTCTGTAAATCCGTAGATCCAAAGCATCCACAAACCAGGTTTCTGCAGTGCTTGTCTGAAGATGGACACATTTTGCACTAGTGGGGATCACACATCAAGGGGTTGAAGTCAGAGCCGGTGAACGGCTTTCTACAGACAATTTTTTCTACTTGCCAGCTACGGTTTCCAATTGCCATTGACACGTTGCTGCCAATTTTGAATGATTTGGATATAAGCTGCACAAGCACCACAGGACATTTGAGCCATGAGCCAACGGACAACTGTGCATGGACCAGCGAAATGGCACAAACAGCTCAGTGGATGATACAGTATGTCTCACCAGCATTCCAATGATTTCCAATGCAGAAATCAAAGTTAACATTCATTGACATCAACAACATTCAACATCAGTCACCCTCCATCCAATGTCCAACATCGATCAAAGAAGTACGATCCCTTTCGAAGTTTTTCCAGCTGTGAGCTTTGGGCAGCCAATTTCACTTCCCAAAGCGCCGCTCCACAATGTCGTTGACGCGTTTCCATTGAGGCGAATTCACTGGATGATCATTAACCTTGACAAGATCGACAAGTCATCAACTGGGGATGCATTAACCAAAGGAACCATAGTATAGGTAACCATCTATTAATGCTGTATATATATGACTTTATATAACCATAGGAACCATAGTAGCCATAGTAATGACATAGTAGTTATCATTATGTGTATATATATATGTATGTATTGTATTGTATATTGTATATTATATATTGTACCTTGTGTATTGTATTGCGTATTGTATTGTACATTGTATTGTATATTGTATTGTGTATTGTATTGCATATTGTATTGTGTATTGTATTGTGTATTGTATTGTGTATTGTGTTGTATATTATATTGTATATTGTACTGTATATTGTATTGTATATTGTATTGTAGATTGTACTGTATATTGTAGTGTATATTGTATTGTATATTGTATTGTATATTGTATTGAACACTGTGTTGTATATTGTATTGTATTGTAATGTATCTTGTATTGTATATTGTATTGCATATTATATTGTATATTGTATTGTATATTGTATTGTATATTGTATTGTATATTGTATTGTATATTGTATTGTATATTGTAGTGTATATTGTAGTGTATATTGTATTGAATATTGTAGTGTATATTGTAGTGTATATTGTAGTGTATATTGTATAGTATATCGTATTGTATATTGTATTGTATATTGTAGTGTATATTGTAGTGTATATTGTAGTATTGTAGTGTATATTGTAGTGTATATTGTAGTGTATATTGTAGTATTGTAGTGTATATTGTAGTGTATATTGTAGTGTATATTGTAGTGTATATTGTAGAATTGTAGTGTATATTGTAGTGTATATTGTATTGTATATTGTAGTGTATATTGTAGTGTATATTGTAGTGTATATTGTAGTGTATAGTGTATATTGTATTGTATATTGTATTGTATATTGTACTGTATATTGTATTGTATATTATATTGTATATTGTAGTGTATATTGTACTGTATATTGTGTTGTATCTTGTATTATATAGTGTACTGCATATTGTAGTGTATATTGTAGTGTATATTTGTATTGTGTATTGTATTGTATATTGTATTGTATATTGTATAGTATATTGTATGGTATATTGTATTGTATATTGTATTGTATATTGTACATTGTATTTTGTACATTGTACATTGTATTGTATATTGTAGTGTATATTGTCGTGTATATTGTACTGTATATTGTAGTGTATATTGTAGTGTACATTGTAGTGTATATTGTATATTGTATTTTATATTGTAGTGTATATTGTAGTGTAAATTGTATTGTAAATTGTACTGCATATTGTAGTGTATATTGTATTGTACATTGTTTTGTATATTGTATTGTACATTGTTTTGTATATTGTATTGTATGTTGTATTGTATATTGTATTGTATATTGTATTGTACATTGTATTGTATATTTGCTTGAATATTGTTTTGTATATTGTATATTATATATTGTATATTATATATTGTACATTGTGTATTGAATTGTGTATTGTATTGTACAGTGTATTGTGTATTGTATTGCGTATTGTATTGTACATTGTATTGTATATTGTATTGTGTATTGTATTGCATATTGTATTGTGTATTGTATTGTGTATTGTATTGTGGATTGTGTTGTATATAATATTGTATATTGTATTGTAGATTGTACTGTATATTGTAGTGTATATTGTATTGTATATTGTATTGTATATTGTATTGAACACTGTGTTGTATATTGTATTGTATATTGCAATGTATCTTGTATTGTATATTGTATTGCATATTATATTATTGTATATTGTATCGTATATTGTATTGTATATCGTATTGTATATTGTATTGTCTATCGTATTGTATATTGTATTGTATATTGTACTGCATATTGTATTGTATATTGTACTGTATATTGTATTGTATATTGTATTGTATATCGTATTGTATATTGTATTGTATATTGTATCGTATATTGTATTGTATATCGTATTGTATATTGTATTGTATATTGTAGTGTATATTGTATTGTATATTGTAGTGTATATTGTAGTGTACATTGTAGTGTATATTGTAGTGTATATTGTAGTGTATATTGTAGTGTATATTGTAGTGTATATTGTAGTGCATATTGTATTGTATATTGTAGTGTATATTGTAGTGTATATTGTAGTACTGTAGTGTAGTATTGTAGTGTATATTGTAGTGTATATTGTATTGTATATTGTATTGTATATTGTATTGTATATTGTAGTGTATATTGTAGTGTATATTGTAGTGTATATTGTAGTGTATATTGTATTGTATATTGTATTGTATATTATAGTGTATATTGTAGTGTATATTGTAGTGTATATTGTAGTGTATATTGTATTGTATATTGTAGTGTATATTGTAGTGTATATTGTATTGTATATTGTAGTGTATAATGTAGTGTATATTGTAGTGTATATTGTATTGTATATTGTATTGTATATTGTATTGTATATTGTATTGTATATTGCAGTGTATATTGTTGTATTGTATTGTGTTGTATTGTGTTGTATTGTATTGTATGTATATGTATATGTATATGTGTATCTGTATGTGTATGTATAGGTATATGCATATGCTGTATATGTATGTGTATGTGTATCTGTATGTATGTATGTAATGTAATGTAATGTAATGTAATGTAATGTAATGTAATGTATGTATATTCGTAGAACCATGGTAATAGAGGCCCCATATCCCAAGTGTTGGTTCCCATGGTCTCCGCACCACATTGATGCTCAGTGACCATGCCGATGGACTGCATCAAGGCATAGCAGATGGTGGGGCCCACGAAACCAAATCCTGGCAGAAAGGAGTGGCTTCTACACGGCGCTTACAAATAAACCGCAATGTATCTACCTATATGTATTATATATATAATATAAATATAAAATTATATGTGGATATGTATGTACACTGTCTACGTATATATAGATATAATATGTATTTATATAGTGAGTGTATGCTTCTGAGATTTCTAAGTAGCCGTAGGCCATGACATCGACTTGGCATCGTTGCCGAGGCGTGCCGAGCGTCCACGTTTTTTGAGTTCTTTGCTCATCTCCATGGCCTCTTTAGTGACCACCTGCGGCGAGCGTCGGCGAGCGTCGTTCGGAAAGCACAGGATACCGTATGGATGATCATGGATCATGGATGCATATGATGTAATGTACTGATATGTACTGTACCTTTTAGTTGGTATCCCCAAAGTTTCTATAAAACATCATGAAACATTCAGACCCTGTCCCTCGGCTTGTCGAGAAGGACTGCAGTGCTGTTCACCATCCAAAACCAGGGACCAGTATCCCTTTCATTGTGCTCACTTGGTGGTTTCATCAGAATGGGACCTGGTGGTCTCATCTGGTGTCATCAAATTATGTACCGACGTCCCACCGGTTCAGGTTCTGCCAGTTCTGACGCCCCGCCGGAATGCGCTTCATGTTCTTCCATCGGTTTACTTTGGGCCGTCCCTTCACGAAGGACCTGGACAATTCGCCAGGCTTCGTTGCTTACCCTTTGGTCATCAAACATGGCAGTGGGAAATCCCCTAGAAATGGAGGTTTCCGTCGGGGAATGCAGGAAAATCATGGAAAATCATGGAAAAAATGCTGATGCACTCAGAATCTAGGGACTTCTGGAGATCCCTGAAGCTTCTGGATGATTTTTGTTGCCCAAGTGCTGCTCGGCCGGAGAAATTGAGGCACTCATATTTTCGCAGCCAGGGCAACTAAGATGTTTGAGCTGCAGTTGCGCAGCGCCACACCTCGTTGTACACTAAAGAAACCCGTGTCGCACTGTCATGTGGGCAGCAAAAAGGTGCTTCCCACAAGTTCTGAACACATCGAGGGGATAAAAAATGGATAAAATGTGCATAGCTTCTTTGCCTCAAGTAAGCCTTGAGACTAGAGCAACATGCATAATTACACACACAAATCTCCACATGTTACTGAGAATACTGGAATGGAACTAGTGACGACAGATCGTTAAAACAATTATAGAATCATTACAACAGCAGCACGGCAGCAATAATAATGACCACAACAGCAGCGACAACCAGTACAACAGAAAAGCTTTGAATCCTACCCTTCAGACTCCGTGACATCCTGCCAGAACTTTGTGTTGGCAGTGGACACAGGTACCAGGTCAGTTTAAGCTCACCAAACCGCTGGCTCAGCAGATCAATCAGCTCCAATTTGGAGCTCACTGCCCGTGTGGTGAAGGTTACGATTTGAGGATACGCCCTGATAGGTATCAAAAAGGTAAAACTCAGTGAAAGAGAACCGTTGTTATTCGAGATTCCCTCAAAGCGGAAAACTATCATTTGAGGGGTGCTTGGTCGGGCGTGATGGAGACACATTTGTTGGGTCAGCCAATGATCACTGAGCCGAGAAAATTGCAAACACGCGTTCGCCCATGAACCTTCTGTAACTTCCTGCGACACCAATGGCAAAGAGCACTGAAGTAAACATTGGTCAAAGTAGATGTTGGCAAAAAACATTGTGTTTTTTTGTGCGTTCCACTTTTTAGAACCGTCCTTATGAATCCCAACATTCAAACATATTCAAACCTCTTAAGTCAATGGTACATACATCTACATACCCGGTCTCGAAAAGAGTGAGAGAGGTCCGTCAAACGGTTTCATCTTGGAAATCTTGAAATAACTATTGGGGAGATGTCATGAACTTGCACATTTCTTGGAATGAGTCTTTACATCATATCGACCTTCAAAAGAATTACCTTCGTGCATATACAGACATGGCAATGGGATGCTATGGGCCTAAATCAATTTTGCCCAGATTGGGTCAATGTGGTAAATAATTATCCAGTTATGGTTTATTCTCTTCATTTCTCGGATGCCAAGATGAAACAACAAATCAATGCAGGTGCACGGCTGCCAGCTGGGTCCGGAATGCCTCATGATTCAATCAACCCACTGGCTCCGCCTGTCAGGATCAAGAGGGCAACCGCGGTTAATTACGCAGGGTATGCAGTCCCAGCATAAACGAAAAACACATAACCATCTCAAATTCTACTAGAAACGGGCTGCAATAACCATCTCTCAATTGAATTATTGGGTTTACTGCATTATTCTCCAGAAGTCTTGATTTCCAGATTTGATGATATTTGATGCATCAAAGAATCAAACTATTCAATAGTGATATCTTGGCTGAAATCTCGTCGGCAGAGCCCACAGCAATTGCTATGGCTACCGATGGCCACTCGGCCATGCAACTGCTCCCCGGGGTTTAGCCATGGGGCCCTAAAACAAAGCCTCAGCTAACCAGCTAAAATGTTGGTAGTTGAAGGGACCAACTGTGGCGAACTGATTCCCAATATCATCATGGGTTTGAAAATTTTGAACATCGGAATGCTTTTGCTGAGTGCTACTGTTGGAGATCCTCCATGATCCTCCAATAATTGTCCTGGTTGATGAAACCTGGCAGCTTTTCCCATAGAGAGCAGTTGCTGCTGGGCCACGGAAGGGCAGACTGTCCGGTTGAGAAGTTTCCGAAAGAACTAGATCGTTGATGGTAAACCTAGATGAATCTGAAGTGAACCTGAACGTAAGGGAACCTGAACGGTTTGGTGTTTGAATGGAAATCCTGTTTACATATCCAGGTTGGGTGTGTGCCTTTTGTCCTCATGGGCCTGTCTTGGTGCAGTTTCCTTGACAATGATCCATCTGAGGAGTTGCAAAACTGCCAGTAGTTTGCAATGGATCCCATTCTGATGGTTATCCCCGCAGTGGGGCTGGATGATTTCCATTGCAATGGACAGCTTCCCCAAAAGAGAGTCTCATCAACTATCGTCAGTTCAGAATGCCCTAGTTTTCGGGAAACCCTCTTTGTCAGCAATAACATGTGAAAGGGTTCAGAATCCTATCAGTGCTCGCAGAGTCAAAACAAAACCATATGGTATTCATGCTTTCTTATGTCGCTTGAGCAAAGCGGGAACTTGGGGTGCAAGTGGGGTTATTGATGGGTATACGGTATAAGCATGCCATTTTAATCCCGATAAGTTGGGATGTAACCCCTCTAACTACAACAAGCGTCATGTCTTTCGACAATTTCTCGGAGTGACTAGACGCGACGCCCCGACCGGAAAATATTTGCAAATGGTGCCAGCAGTTTATTAAGCAAGAATCCAAGAATCATCCGTCTACACATCTACAAGAGCCTCTTCCCTTTAGCAACCAGCGATTTCTTGGCTTCATTCATGACCATGTGCAGTATCTTGAGTCCATGAGGGCATGGGTCATCCGTATCAAAACAAGCAAATGACCTTGTAGTTGTCAAATGCCCGCTTCTTGAAGGCTATCACGTGAGGCACGCAAAAGCTATGCAAAAGCGCCCCTTGCCGCCTTGGCACCCAAACAATAAACATCATCCGTGGAACACCTGAACACCTGTCTGAAAACGCCTGAGACCATTTGAGAATCAGCTATGCAAGACCTGATAAAAGATTTTTGGTTCCTTTTGGCAACACCTTGTTATTCCTTCTCTATCAATTGATTATATCTGATATTGCTCTTGCAGCCACCCTCAGTGCAAATCATCCAGTTCCAATTTGCCCGAGGGTCACTGCAAGCTTGTTCATCCACACCAACTGCTAGCACCACTTGTGCTATTGCAGTCTCGCAGATTCATCTGTGATATCCTCAAACCTGCAAAACGATTTCTTCATGGCATCATCCTGATAGTTGCCAAGTACGTGCATATGCAATGTATAGTGTATATAGGCCCAAATATAATTAGAGAGTATGTAGATAGTGTGTATATATATATATACACATACCTATAATATGGTATATGGACAGTATGTAGACAGTATATATATATAGATATAACTATATAGACACTAGATAAATAATGCCATATTGACAGTACGTAGAGAGCATGTAGACAGTACATAGACAGTATATAGGCATGTAGGCAGTGTATAGGACTTTAGTGCCAATTTTGTCAAGGTCACTCAACAAACACTCTTCTACAACGGATCTAGTCTTGTAGTTTGATAGCAGGCGATCCGCTTGCCTGCATTGCCAAAAATGCACATACACCACTCAAGCACAAATACAATACATACTCGAAAAGACAATCAATAGCATATGTTAGCAGTATGTCATCCGATGCATCATGGAGAAGTTCTGGCTTATGACTGCAATGTCTACAGAGTTCAAATTAAAAGGCTAAGCCAGCTATGGTCAAGCTGCGAAGGCACAATGCAAATCCATTAATTGACTAATCTTTACCTGTTGTAGAAAACCGCGAAGATAAATTGCATACCACGGCATTGACGGGCATTCCCTTCATCATCTTCAAAGGTGGCTGGGAACTCCCCTATATAGATCTATAGATCTATATAGCCTACAATATGGAGCTTTATCATTGGGAAAATATGGGAAAATCATCGATAGCCATCTTTGATTTCCAGATATGTCCAGTATCTTCCATTGCCATCTTTGATTACCTGGCGTTTACCATCTTAAAAAAGTGGTAAAATGTGGTAAACCATCGGCCATTGAGTTGCTTCACAGCTTGACAGAGACTGTGGTCAACCATGGTCAACCCTCATAAACCACCAATTTCACATATCCATCTGCGAAGATCTGGAAAGGTTATGAGTTATGATGGCTTATGGCATTGGATGGTATTGGATGGCATTGGGTTTACCATGTTTACCACATTCAAAGCAGGCGTTTTGGCCCACCGCTTTAACGGGTGGCCGATTCCAGTGTCTCTGCTTGGCCGGCACCTGGCGTTTCCCGTGGGGATGGGTCAAAATCATCTCCAAAAATGGATGGCTTTATAGCAACCCCAGAGATAGAAGAGTAAACTGATGTAAAATCCATTAAAATCCTACCAAAGTAGTGGTAAATAACTTTTCCATCTTTTTGGGCGCTACTATATACAAAACACCAAGTTTGATCCATTCTGTAGGTCCATTGTCACTTTGACCCATCCCCAAATCTGCAGGAAAAACACAAACACAACGGCTAAGACTAAGATGCACAAATGTCCATATCGTTTCTTGCACTATCTTTTGTCACAACAACTTCCGGCCTTCGCTTCAAACCTGTGGCGCGAAGCCTTTCTGTCCAGCTTCAGTCTATCCCTGCGGCGGATAGATCCGGGGAGAAAATAAATTTGGAGAGGTACAGGACTTCGTTCCGGTGCCAAAACGTTCTCTGAGAGCCAACCCTAGCAAGAACTAGCCGAATTAGCATTAATGCCAACATCGGATTAATCAACCCCCCCCACCAGGTAGGTAGGTAGGTACCTTCTGGCTAGTTTTCTTGACGACCCCTTAATAACAAGCAACTCTGAACCATAAAAATTTGGATATGGCTTACGTCAATTAGATCTTAATTGAATTCCATTGGATTTGTTAAAATCTCATGGATCAGAAAGGTGGTTGATTAATCGGGGGCAAACCATGGTTATTATTAATGGGGGACATGGGCTCATGGGGGGTACCCTTTGGGAGCTATCCAAACTGATGATTTTTATAAAGATTTTAATTAGAAATCGATCATTTGGGGAATAGTCATTTTTTGATTTTTTCAATGATCAACTTAAACCTAAAGTATAACAATGATGATTAAAAAAATGGTAAAAACAAATTGGAAATAAATAGAATTGGAAATAAAAATTGTTGGATAAAAAAATGATTTCAGCACTGGTGGTTTTTTAATCGCGGGGATTTATTAATCCTGGGGGACCACCTTTTTTTGAATTACATTTTTTTGGGGGGGCAGAGCGGGTTGATTAATACCGCGGGGATTATTAATCCTAACTTGGCATTAGCCATTATTCCCCATCGATGCGAAGTGATGCCGGAGACGTACTTTGATGCTTTCTTTCAGATTGCCCAAAGCTCAAGGCGTTGATTTGCTTTAGGTAGGTAACCTTAGGTGTCGCCTGGTAAACCAACACAGCTCCTCACCAGATCCACAAGCTGCAGCAATTTCTTTGCGAGGGAAATTGGCGGTGAAATCCATGGCCGGGATAGTCATAGAATGCACGCTGTTATGCCTGACATAGGTACCGTACTCATGAATAATTCATCAGTGTTCAAAACCCTGTCATCCCATCAAACACTAGTTTGTAACAAAAGGTATTCCTATATATATAATTATATATATAATATTATATAATTATATATTCCAGATTATTCCAGTTATAAACAAATATATTGGGTCATCAGAATCGCCAGTAAATCCGGTATAGCCACCCTTTAAGAATGAATCAACCAGGTCAACTGCCTCAGTTTCCTGCGTCTCGTCTTCATAGATATCACAGGCGGATGGCAAAATAATCCTCAATGGCTACAGTAGATGGGGTTTTATGGTTTAACCAACAAACATGGGGATATATATATATATACCCGGTATATATAAATATGTATATATACAATTGTATACATATAATCATATACAATCATATACACACATTAATATACACATGTATATGATTGTATATGTATACACGAATATACGGAGATTTTAATGGGGAAAATGATGAACCATGACTATAAACCATCGAATTTCAGAGCCCCGGATTTTCAGACAAATCCAAAAATTGCCTAGAGGCATTGGATTCGCTGAAAGAACACATTGGAGTTTCATGATTTTGCCAGAACTATTGCTGCAACAAACTTACAAAGCGCAGCAAAGTTGCAGGTTTGGGTGACCACCCCTATCGATCAATCCCAAATTGGGGACCTGCCGCATTTCAACTAGGTTCGCTGGAAAATGGACCATCAACTGGCTGATTTTAGGGACCATCAACTGGCGGATAATGACCCATCTGACTAATGTGTGACTGCCGTAATCCCCTGGAGGGTGGTCTTGCTCCCCTAAACACTGCCATATTGGATGCAGACTCAACGGAAACACACCCTGAACCAAACCTGAAGTTGCTATCTATGAGCACTTGCCACCCTTGTGAAGAGACATACAGTTAAACTCTCACTAGGGGGATGACAGAACACGGCTACCTGGCTAGCTCTGCATCTGGCTCAAATATGGGCACCTGAAAATGGATGGACTTGTATCCATTGCCAACAGCGGTGGGGCCCAAAGCCTCTATTATGGATCTGCAGCAATGCTAGAAACCTTTGTAAATGCAAATGTATACTTGGTGTGGAAGAAGTATCCACTGAATTCCATTGAGAATTAGGAGATTTCACAAAGATCATAGGATTTAGATACCACTTGCTGCTCGATTCCCCATCGACACTGCATGAAACCAAGCTTCATAACTCGCTTGGACACCTGTGACCTCCGCGATGATTGATTGGGAGGACATTTGTTTGTCGATTTTGGTCGACAGGTCACATTTTTTCCATTGGTAAAGCGACATTTTTTCCATCCTTTAATAGGGCTGTCCTGCAATCGTCCCGCCCAATGAATCCAATGAATCCATTGATCCTTTACCATCCTTTACCACTGAGCCAAAAGGGGAGACTTGGAATTGAGCACTTCTCGAAAAGTGCGCGGAAAAGCCAGATCCATTTTCGGCCAATACTTTTGACCCATAGCTTGAGTAAAACTGAATTGGAGGAAGCACCCACGGGTACAAAGTGATTGCTGCAGTGCAAAGAGAGTAGAAAGAGTACCACATGTTTTAATTTGACAAAGTCGACATGTGCCTTTTTTTTGCATTTTTTTGCCAACAATTTGATGATACTCTGCCACTGCCTAATCTTTCATTTGTTTGTGGGTCCTGTGCATTTAGCTTCAAAACCGTGCTTGTGGCATTAGTCATCTGTCAGCTATTTTCAGAAACATCTCCACAAGCCCAAGGGGCCTTTCCAGGGTGGGCTGGTCATCAGAGGTGTTCAAGATTTTCTCCAACTCGTTCATGAGCGTTTGTGTTGCAACTTGTGTCCTGGCACAAAGCTCCAAGGAGATTGATTTCAGCAACAACTCCCTTTCTTAAGCAAACGCTCTTCTGGATATGATGGGCCTGCGCATTGATGTTTAGAAATCATACAATTCTGGACGTCGAAACACGGCCTTCAATCATTTTTCAAACACTTTGCAATGGGGAGTGACAGAATAACAGTGACCAACTGCGCTGAACCTGATGAATCATAGAGTATATCTGTATATATATAATATTAATAATATATCATATTTTAATATATATATATATCATATTTTAATATATATATATATAAATATATCAATTATATACGTAGTACAAGTATAATTTATTATAGAATCATGAATTATCAAAGTTTGAGATCTGCTCCGGCTTAAAGTGGACCGAGGTACCCGACCACAGGGGTTCACCCCAGTGGTTCAGATTGAATCGGTGCCCAAATTCCACTTGCAATGTCTTTGCAAACGGCAATTGATGGGTCTTCCGGGCATTTTCCCCATCTGTAGCTATAAATCAGCGATAAATCCCCAGCTTAACAAACAGTTACAGTACCTTATGTTACGTTCGCGTCTTGGCCATTGCTTTTGCATCACTTCGCTTGCGACAGATGCCTGGTTCCGCTGGAGGCTTTCTTGCGTCGTGCCAAGTTCTCATTTTGCAGCTTGAAGACTCGCTCCTGTCGCCGATTCACTGACTGATGGAAATAGAAAGTTGCGGCATCGATTGCCGGGGTTTCCTTTAGAATTCCAGTTCTGAAGTTCTGAAACAACTTGTTCACCCCGAAGCTTTGGATGTTCTTGCTCCCAAAATAGACAATCCGAAAGAAACAGAGAGATGGTCTGCAGAATTGAAAGCTTAGGGTCATCAACTGTTTGTGCATGCACTCAATGGATTAGGGCTGGTCACAGGTCAAAACAGAATCGCTCTATGTACAGTATGAGCTGCAAGCTTGGGCACAAAGAGAACAGCATAATCAGCTTAGTGTGAAAAAATGATAAACTAGCACTGCTGGTTTCTTTCACATTCTCAAAATGGCGTGTGAGACATCCAACAGAATTCGTCAGAATTAGTCTGAGAGTTTGGGGGTGCCACAACCCATGGGCCTTCCCACTTCGCTCGCTTCCCAGCCTCCAAGCTGTCAATGCTCACAGCTTTCCCCACGCTGCCGCCGCAACCCATGGTGGAACGGAGGAATGGACCGTCCCGCACAGGTTGGCGTGAATTCGAGGGTAGGTGGCAGTACCAAAGGAAGTACTTGAGATATGCTCAGTTCATATCACATGCAGCTCTTCAGTTGGAGAACAAGTACAGCAAAATGACTGGTTCGTGTTTCACACAGGCCGGTATATCTGGTATGAGACCCTTTGAATCGAGCAATCGCAGCAGAGTCAAGCACATGTACCGTTCTGAACCTGCGACAAACTTACTCCCCATTTCCAAAGTCTGTTGAAGACCTCCAAACAGCAGGATACTTGAGAAGCGGCTATGGTATGTCATCTGCTTCTTCATCTTTTTTTCGAGTTCCAAGGGAGTTCCCTGGAATTCCACTTAACTATCTTCACTGATCATTGCCAAGCCGCAAACCGGAAGGACTTCCTTCCCCCAGGTAGCACTGGTCCCACTGCTGACTGAGTGCTCAGAGGCTCAGAGGCTCAGCCCTTCTCCCGTGATCCGCAGCCAAGAAGCCACAGAAATTTGCAGAAAGATCCATACTCCTTGCCATCGCAGTACTCAAAATATCTCAAAATGTTTCTCTGGGGCATGTGATTCTCTGATATTCTCTGTACTAGATGCATCTACAGTAGTTAAGTTATACGATGTTATATGTATTAGATGTATTAGCGGGCTTCAACATTCGGCGGGGCATATGCCGCAGGGCCCAAAACATGGGCTTCAAAAGTGCCCCGGCACGTCACCATGGTAGCTGCCTCTTCGCCTCCACTTGGATCGATGTCCCAAAGCAAATCCTCTGTCATCATTTACCTATAGATCCATTTAGATCCTATGTTTCAATGGATCCGAATCCGTTTGGTAATCAACCAACCAGTGAGAAGAGGCCATATCTATTCAAACGGATCCTTTTTTGCAAAGGTCATGGCAGCGCTCCTCTGCCGCTTGCAAGCTAAGCTTTGCATTTCGTATGACGCTTTCCTGGGCTGCGGCACTTCGACAGTTGTGTTCTCTTCAAACCACAAGAAGACTTGCCTGTTCCTGGGATCTTTTCATCAAGACGACAGACAGTTCGCGTTCCAATGTCTATTGTCGTAGTCCACAGAGAAAAGCTAAATTAGCAATGAAACGATTCTGGAAACTGCAAACTCACAAAAGGAAACATGATCATGACAATGACAGTCACACAGTGTTGATTTGTGCTTTGTTTTGTGTCTTTGTGTCTTGTTCTGAAATACCTTCTTCATCATCGAGTTTCAATCTTCCCACGATTCTTCACAATGACGGCACTGCCCTCGCCCGGGCTTTTCAGCAACGAAGTCACTTTGCTTGGAGGATACGCCTCGGCAAGCAGTGGAATTGTGTGGTCAGGCCCCACAGTCGGTTTTGGCCGAGTGACAGCCACTTTGGCAATATCAAAATTGTCAAAAGCCCGGCGGTATGCCTGGGATGGAAAAGGCAAAACGTGAAGCCTTTCTGTTGTGTTCCTGTGTCCTTTATCAATATTTATCGAGTACAACGAAAAACCATACGTTATTTAAATTACAATCTCTGCAAACGATCGGCAAGCACATATTTTATGTTTTGCACAGGGAGAGCGCGAGCTGCCTAAGAAGGAACCACTCAAAGCTGGTCGTATTTGGATGGCGGCTGTGCACCCGTATGCCTAACCCATGCTGATCCCATGCAATCCCTTACAAAATCACCAAATCGTCATGGTATGGTGAACATGTAATACAGTACCATCTAATACACCCCAGAATACCCCAGATATCTATTCTGAATTCCACCAGAACAGCCAGAAAATGCCAAAAGGCTGGTGAAAGGCCGGCGAAAACATGGTGAAAACTAGGGGGCCCTTATTTCGGGGGCATTCTTGGTGACCGTCAAGTTAGGCCCCAAATGGCAGGCCAACTGCAACCACTGACCATCTCACCATCTCGGAGCCTCTCGTTTGCGCAGAATGGTGTCCCAACTGAGTCCAGCTTGAGCTCCTTCAAGGCTCAACATTTCGAAGAGTTTGTTGTCACCTTGATGCCCCAAATGCGACAGTGGATGTCCCACTGATGTCCCACTGTCCCAACCTCCCAATTCTGCCCACGGACGCAATTCTGGCCACTTGGTTGTCATATGTTGTCATATGTCATATATATATATATTTATATACTATAAAAAAATACTATATATATATATACACGTACTTTACTTATCTTATGAGACTTTTGAATACATATCATGTGATGCAAATCCAAACTTTACTGTAAATTCGAGAACGTTCCTGTGCAAAAGGCACAACTTCCGTCGCTTTCCCAACTTCTGAGATGAAAAGCTTCAAGTTCCCTGGTTCATGATGCGGGTCTGAAAAGGGGCTATATGGCTATACTCTCCGCTTTAATGGGATTACAATAATAAGCCATAATCCATTGGAGTTGGGGTCACCTATTTTCAATCAAACCCATGTAGCTTTGCCGTGGTCTGGTTCTCACAACATCATGATGTCAGAGTCACGGCTTCTTCCTGGACCGTAGATGGGCACACCCCACTCCTGCAGAAGTAAGGCTGACTCGTTGTTTGATCAAGCACCGTGTTTGTAGGCAGCGGCAGCACTTGTAATAGTAAGCATATTGATAGCAGTGCTAGTAATATCTAGTAATCATCGTAATAGAACAAATAATTCAGGACATGTAAGTCATGATCTGAATGCAGCGTTCCTGTAAGAATGCATTTGCAAACACAACGATCAAAGGTGTATCGTCGATGGATGCACATACGTATCACATACGTATGTACCGATGTGAATATTTACGGATTAAACATATGCAAGGTCTGTTACAGTCAATGTAACATATGTAACGTCTAATATGTATACCATACGGATACCATACCCCCAAAGACCAGCATGATCTGTGGCTCTTTGCTACGACCAAGAAATCAGTGAGAGCTGCCAATCGGAGCCAGGGCAATTGTCTAGCCATAGCAAGTATTTTTACATTTCCCAACAAGCAGTGGTGTGTTTAATATTGTTTAATAGTGTACAGCAGTGGAATGTTGCTTTCATGTTAACTCCATTTGACTCCCATCCCGACAAGACTTCCCCACGGCAGATCCTTATCCATGTAACGCTTGTAATAGTCCGCTGTGGCACCGGAATAGCTTTCATACCAAGCTGCAGGATCCTGAAAGTCACAGATGGTGCCATGAAGGCCATGAACCGATATGCTGTGCTTCGCGTGGATGATTTGCATTGATTTGCCAAACATTGGGATATTCACAAACCATCACAAACCAATATGGGGATTCAAGCTAGAAATAGGCGCAGGGCAATACGAACATGCAGCGGGTTTGTGGTCGTGTCTTAGTATGTCTGATTGCCTTCACAACTAATGCTTCAAGTTTACCTCTCAGTCCTGAAGCTTCCGCCTTTTTGCAGGTGTGGCCTTCCAGCAATCGAGTTCAGCAGAGGGGCAAAAGAACTCATGTTCGAATGCTTTGCGAGAAATCATGGCAAGAATCTGCGCAGCAAACAATCCTCTCGCAAAAACTTTACGCAAAGGTATGGCTTCTATTTCAGAGTTCGGGCGCTGCAAAGGTTTGCCTCTTTGGACGGTGCCGCGCGCTGCATTTAAATTACTGTAGATTGGCATGCTCCATAATCTCCATACTTTTTGATGCAATTTGTCTCCATTTCCTACTCAAATTCATGGATTGAAATAATTCCAAGCATTCCCAAGCAACAGGTTCTTTATCCATTAAAAAATGCCAGGGCAATCTTCAAACCAGTGTACCCGGAAACAAAGCCTGGGATGAATATGGATGAATATGTAATTATATACCCAGTTGAAAAATATATGTACGTACATCGATTGTAAATGTAGACTTTGATCAAGGGGTTTAGCAGCAACTGTTCAAGCGCCACAGGGTTGTTGTGCATTGATGCAAGAATCCACTGCTTGTCTTCTTCGACATCAGCTGGACAAAAATCAAGTTTAATATAGTTTAACCATGTTTAACCAATTTCACCTGCACCGGTGCCAAGCCAAAACTTCATCCATGATCTCGGCACCATCTTCCAGAAACAGCTTAGAATCTTGGCTGCCAAGGCTTGCCTCACAACCTTTGCGTTTGTTCAAATTCATTGGCATCGAGATATGCCACATTATGCCACATTATGCCACTCTCTCACCAGACAACAGAAAGCACACCCCCCATGGCAGGCTTAAAGCTGGAACCCAAACTTTTGGCGATGAACATGATTCTCTTTAGGGACATCCTTCAATTCGCATGAATTCGCATGAATTCGCATGAATTCGCATGAATTCGCATGATGTTTGTCTCAAAATCTGACCAGTGGATGATTCGGTAATGGTTGCAAACCTGCAGGAGAATTAACATGTCACTCACTATATTAATAGAATATTATAGAATATAGACTATATTGTCATATATTGTCACAATATACCTTCCTGACTGTACAAAGCATCAACCCAAGTGTTCATCATGGCTTCACAAATTCACACCTTGCAGCTCCCTGCCTGCTGACTGGCTGGCCGTTTTTGCGCCTCAGGTTGTGGAGTTGGCAAGAATTGTGTATGGCCTCTGTGTGGAAACACTGAAGAAATGCTGCGGTTTCTTCCTTCAAGATTGCTGCATGTAAATGTTCAATTGGGAATTCGTTTGCTGATAATACCACTCAACGATTCTTCATGATTTCAACACATGGCCGTATCACTTTCCGTTCGGCCACGATGGTGGATAGAGTGCCACAACTGCTTGTGATATGATTTTGGATAGAAGCGCTAGAAGTCAAAGAGGAAACGTGGCACTCGAACCCCCCAAATCATATCAACCAGTTGCAGATAGTCCGAAGACATCCCATTTCGATCTGACTTTGGATCAAAAACCACATATATAATCCGAAATAATTAATGCCAAACTTGGATAGAATTGGATGATTATCTGTAAAAAATGACAGTATCTGTTGGCTTTTTTTGGCAGCAATTTTTTGGGGCCTGAAAATAGTACCCAAATCCGGTGGTTCATGATTTTCCACACTGTTCCCTCCCAAGTATAGAAACAGGATGAAACAGGTAATTTTGGGGTCAAATCGTCTCGATTTCCCACTGAGCTTCCAGGCCATCGGTCCAGGGATGTGGATGCGGAACGATGGTCACGTTGTGTGCAGCAAACAACAATTGTGCTGTTCTTTTCTCTTGAAACTGTCAAATCTATGGGATTCACGGATTCACTCGATTTTCGTAGCTGGGCTGGGAACTCTTGGTGACGTTCATGACAGGCGCAAGGGCCGGCATCACTCCTTGGGCCTACTGCTGTGCCATCAAGTCGTCATGATGCTCAAACTTAAGATGTGCAACGGAGTAAGCTGCTGAATTGTTCTAGAGCTTCAAGATGCTTCAAGCACCCAAACATCATCAAACATCCTCATATTTTGGAGAAAGACTCCGTTGTTGTGTTGACCAATTATATAAGTGGTGCAGCGATGCAGCAGTGATTTGATGACAATGTATCAGCAATAACTCCGTCGCTCCGAGTTGAGTCGAACTACACCAAGTCAACCTGGTAGTCTGTACCGATCAAACGACACTCAACCTTTCTCCAGTGCATTCATGGCTTAACCAGCAAGGTGACGTCTTCTTCCTCAAGGATTCCATCATTGTACAGGATTCTAAATCACGTCTGCCTTTCTCATCACCAGCGGTCAACATTGACTTCCCGTCTGCACCACTTTTTGACTCTTAGCGCGCAGGTGAGGCAGGTGGCGACGTTGGCAAATATTCAGGGCTAAAGGTGTGGCGCTGTTCGAAGGCCTCGCAAGATGACACTGACGGCATGATGGCTGGCGGAAAATATGGCCTTCTCCAGGAATGGTTTTAGATGGTTTTGGGGTACCAAAAAATCGGAATTTCAACAAACAATCGATGAGAAACATTGAGAAACCGTGGGATGAAATGGGTAGAAATCGATTTTCAAAGCTGATGACCAGCCTCGAGACGCTGGTGGAAACCTTCGGCATCCTCTGCACTGAAAGCCTCACTCTCCTGCGAGCCCGGCTGAGGTGATGTCCATCCGGACTGCACATGTTGTACAATCTTCAATATATTTATACATATATATATATATCTCAATATATCATCATAAATCGTCATATCAACTCTGAAGGCAAACTCAAAACAGTATAGCGAATTTGGAAATACTTGAGGACGCGATGCGGCATCAAGTTGTGGTGAACTTGATTGAGAACTCAAACACGCGTGAACAATCAGTTGAGAATCTTAAACCCAACCGCTCCATCATCTCTGGCTCTGGAGACATCTCGACATTTGCTTCCCGGCCCTCCACGCCACCAAGACGGCGAACGCCCTGTGAAGTGCGGTCGGGAAGGGCACCACCAAAGCAAAGCCACAGTGCAGCATCAAAACAGCATCAAGGTCTAGGACTAGCCACCAGCCACGCAACAAGCATATCAGTGTCATATCAGCCTTTTTTGCAAGTTTCCTATTCATCCTACCCTGTCTCCAGGAACTCTCGAAATGAAGAACATGAACCCAGACTCAGCAGACCCAGGTGCCAGTTGAGCCTCATCAAACTGATCCAACATCGAACTGCATTCGCTTTGCAGATTCTTTACCGCATGCCTCAAGGCTGCCTTCGCAGAACGAGCTCGACTACCATGGTTGAACTTTTCCTTTCATGATGGATTGCTCATCTCCCAGGTATATTTTCACCAGAGGATGTTTTCAGATGGGATATCCTCAGCCAGCAGCACCAAAACATGGTAGAAACTTGAACATCCCAGTCGCTTGACATCGAAACTCAGTGGGATGACTACACTATGGTTCCATACTACTGGATCAACATGGAGTTAGTATGAATTCTGTACGTGGCATATCTATCATATTTCTAGATCAAATGATTCAAATGGAATACTGGAATTTCGTATCGGCATATTTCGTCGGGGATTCGCAACGGAATACTGTTCTAACAACAAACATCACTCTAAGGTATAGATAGATATATGATAGTATAGAACTGAATCATCCAACTGGTTGGAATACTGCATGATTCACTTGGAGACCAATGCCAACTGTCAAGGCTTGGGTTTTTTTTGGTGCTGGAAAAACAGCTGTACTACATGGGTGTCTCAAATCACACCCATAAAAAGGATTAAAAAGGTCAGTTTGAGGATAATGATGATATGATTAAACTATGATAAGCCTTGATTTTTAGATATTTTTTGCATCAATTTCAGGGCCACCCCATGGACAAACCCACATGATAACTTCTGCAACTTCGCCTCGGGCTGGATGGCAGGAGTAGTCTGTACTCGCAGTTCGATCATGTGATCCCTGGGCACGTCTCACGCAATCACCATCCAAGCCTCTAGAGAAACCGGGTTGCCTTAGAACGGGACCGATTATGACCGATTGCCCATTCCCTTTACCCGGAGCACGTCAGATGTCTATCAAAGGATCTACTGCATCATCTGCTCAATCGTGTCTGCAATGTTACTCAGTGTAGCTTTCTCGAAATGCCTAGAGTCATAGCAACAAGTTTCGACACCTCTGATTGCCCACGTTCGCATGAAATCCAGACTTGACTCGTTGCAATGGTTCAAGGATTTTCAAGGTCACCATCCACCAAAAAGCCAGGCAAAACTTGATGTAAACCGGACATAGCAGGCTAGATATAGACAGATCAGCAAGCATGGCACCCAGTGTGCATGTGGTGTTGTTCAACTCCTTGGAAGCCTCCAAATCACCACTATTCGTAGTACTAGTACTTAGTCACTAAATAATATCACTCACTATTAATAGTAGTATCTCCAAATCACTAAATATATAATACTTGCTTCTGACAAAACAGACCAGCCAAGCTTCAGAGGGTGTCGCACCTTGTAGCCAGCGAACAGCACCGCCTACAGCGCTGACGATGTGGCAGAGAGGGAAGCCACCGATTTCAGATAGGAATTGGATAGACTTTTACTACTCCTAGCCGAGATACTGGAAGGATTCAACACACGCAAACTTTTCTACTCCAAAAAGGGGTCACCTTATGGCGAGCATTGGCATACGATCATTGGAAACCTTCAGGGATCTATACTCGATGGATACTAAACAATGTCACACTAAACATACGTATAGCTAGCAGGTAGCTAGATAGATTAGATAGATTGGGTGGTCAGTCTCCCAGTAATTATGTATTATCAGATAGGAAGATAAGTAGAATAGAATAGGCATATCTGCAGGTGGATAGTGCTACAAACACACAGGAATGTTTTCCCATGTTGGGCCACTACCTAGTTGAGTGCTTGGAATCGTTCCACAATTTTAGGTTCCTTGCAATTCAAGTTAGACAACAACACAGTACCAGCCCGTTACTGAATAGTGATTGAAATCTGAAGTCAGAGTTTCTTGAAGTATTCCCACTCACGACCGCATTCTTTGCACTTGACAAGCATGTGACCAAGTTCGGAGAATATGCGAAAACACGCGCACAGCAGAGATTCAGAGGACTGCTCAACCACTGCCCATAGTGTCATTTGGACCCTTTGCACAATCCATCCGGCACCTCATTCCTAAGAAGCTCCATCCGCAGAAGGTTTCCAAGAGTATGATCTTCCAACCAGGTGTGTAGCACCACGGCATTTGAAACCTTCTCGTCTGGGATCCTCGGAGGGCTACAGCACATCTTTGGCCACACTACCTGCCAACCAAAACCCTCTTTGGACCTGTGGGAGACAGCTCACAGTGGAAATCAATAGAAATCAGATCCTATCAAAATAGATCATCCAAGCAATCAACGTAACTGCACCAACAAACCGGTGACGTTCTTTCCCATGAACTTCAGATCAGTTACACCTCGATTCTCTTCCGTTCGCCATCAGGTCCCTCGGGGACAGAAAACATCTCATGGACCTGCCCAGAGCAATCAGGCTGCCTAAGCTGCCTAAGCGCGAAAGGAATTCTCTCCTGAAACAAAAAAAATGAGAAAATTGTATAAAATTCTTTAAAATTCTTATACCTTTGGGAAAGGTTCGGATTGCTGACACGTAACACCCAACCCATGCTGACGTCTTCAAAATTCAAAGACACCCTTTGCCTACAGCAAACTACAGTGACCGCCGTGCGAGTACAAGCGTGCTGATGTCTCCAGCCGTCTCTAGTGTGTCTGAGAAAGAAACATATGATCATTGCAACAGCAGCTGAATCATTGGTGGGGGACAGTACTCTGGTCTAGAAGGAAATCCAAAACCAAAACTACAATGCATTTCTATGAAGAATTTTCACGTTAGGTGGTCTGGACAATTCTGAAAATAGTATGACATCTAACTCCAATTTGTTCGGAGAACATGCAAGCCGGATTAAGAATGTGGCATCATTCATCTCAACATGCTGTTGGTTCTGGAGACTGATAGCATATCATATCTATTGGAAGCACGTGTCTGTATGTTCCACTCGTCTTAAGATCGGTGCATGCACATCTAAACACCATACGATTCCCACCTGCGTCCTTTGAAGAATTGGATACCGAGAATATTGACCTTTCCGAAGTGGGAGTTACCTTTCCTTCCAAGGAACTAAAATGTCTTGCTGGCCTACCCACATGTTCAACTACTTTCATCTTCCATTACATCCCAATTATATTATATATATATAATTGTGTATGTACATATACACTGACATACACATTACACACACATAAGCACACCATATCTGCACTATATATTGTACAATACCGCAGGAAACATTTCATATTCAATCAGATTCATCCACAGCCACCAGTCACCACATCCCGACAGTACCTCCAGCTTGTTGTACATCTGCAGCTGCCCTGGCGTCGCCATGGCCCTGGCCCTAGGTTCTGGGAGCGCAGCTGACGGCGTGGCATGCCCTGCTTGTGCCCAAATCCAGCGGAGAATCCCGCTTGCTATGCCCTGGAAAACCCAGGGAAATGAGATGAAATGAGGGACCCCCAATTTTCGAGCAACTGGTGCCAAATGATTTACCAAACGTATCAAACACGTGTTGGATAATGTTGTCTCGAATTCTACCAAATGCGTTTCTCCAAATAATTTACGAAAAAGTTGGTTGGCATTCCTCCAAACCGGATCAAAATGGAGACCAACAAAGCGCCAGGCAAATGACCATGTGCGTTCACATCACTGCCGGTCCTGTAGGAATACGGGTTCACAATGGTTCTGTCAGCGTTTTTCATGGGTGCACGCAGGGTTTTGGCATGTGAGGTGCACGGTTAATTGATTTGAAAGCAGGAAAATAATCGGTTGATCATTTCAAGATATCTCAAGTGTAAGGTGAAACACCTGAAAACTTGCTAGGTAGAAAATGATAGGTAGAACATGCATTCCATACTTCGGATCGCAACGGAATTGCATATCATTTCACTGGTCGCTTTTTCGCGCAGAAGACCGTCCGGTCCAGCGCCAATTTGGCTACTTGTGAATGCCCTTGAAGCTTGCACGATCAATCTGAATGATTGGTGCCTTGGGTTTGAAATGGTTTGAACATGTTTGAACAAAGCATTTCAATTCAGGGAACATGGCATGATCAAGCTCTGGAGGCCACATCCATATCACTAGGGACCAAACATTGCCAAACAATGAACTAGGCAGAAATAGGCAGAATCCTCAGCATCCCCCATAACTTGTGATGGGCCGAGCTCAGCAGACAATCGCTTTTTCAGCCTCGCAGGGATTCAGGCCACGAACAGCGTCACTATTGCTACAATTTCTACAACTCCCGTGATTGGGAGAAAAAAACTCATTGTGTAGTAGTGACAGTATATTTCGGTAATTTCAATAAAGCTCCCATTCGATTTTTCATTTTGTCCGTGTCAAGTTTGAATTGGTGGGTTCACCATGGTTTCACCATGTACCTGCTGACCGTTCTCGCTCTCTTTGGTGTCAGGTGATCTGGCAATGGAGGCAGGATAGGATCATTCCCAGCGCCCGACGACATGCGATGGGTGGCTGAGTTTGTGTCATTCAAAAAGGAACATGCCATCGATAGCATCAGCAGCGTTGCTTTCAACAATACTGCGCATCATTCTCCTTGACAAAGGATATGAGTGTGTAAGGATCAACTAGTTCCATGGACAAAGTGGAATAGATAGGACATGATAGGACAGCCTAGTGGAAAACATCCTCCAAACATCTCCAAAGCAATTTCTGGCAGCGGTAGATGTTAAACCCACCCTGCAGCCGTGGCCTTTCCCATGTGACCACCTGCGGGCAGAGATTTCACTCCTTTCACCATCCCTGAGCGGTGATTTCAATTGCGGCCCTTCGAATGTGCGGCTTATGCTCGTAACTGCCTATGCCCGCCCCAAAAAATAATAAAAACACTTGCAGAGGAGTTTCTTAGTCTGGGAGCTCACTTTGCTTTACCTTAGTCTTGGTACGAGTACAGTTGCTACGTTTGAGTCCTTTTCAGCAGTCTCCAAGAGCTGCAGATGTGCCGTTCAGGTCCATCTTCTACAATCATTCACTTTTTAGAGGTCCAGTATTTTCAGGTGTACATGTTAGTATAACATAGTATAACATATTTACGCATTACATGTACATCTATCTGGGCAAATTGTAATACTGCCATATGATGACTACTTTTGGGACGATTCCCTTTACTAAGCATATCTAAGCATCATTTTACGATGAGGTCATTGTGTCGCTGAGGACCAGTCAATGGCCGTGGCAGGTTGCCTCCGTGTTTGTTTTTGCCGATGACATGGGCGCTTCATTCTTGGAAAAATCAGGAAGGCTTTGTTATGTTTGATCAGATCTTTCAGAAGTGAAATATTTGAGCAGAGCGTTTGTTGCTTAGGACTTTCGGGGACCAAGTTGCTGCAAACGGACTCGCCTTTTGGTTTCAATTTACAGTGCTATAGTGAAGCCATTTGCTTCAGAAACGACTGTACAAATGCCACCTGGATTAGTGGCTTCTTCGGGCATGGAAAGCCGTGGTCACCTGCCACTGCTCCAGCGGGGGGTTCTGACATGTTGGCAAGTCGACACTCTTTGAGCGCCAGCGTTGCCAAACCCGATGATTTCTGCTTTGCAGATCCATGGATGAAATTTCTACGGCTGATTCCAAAACGCACTCCACTGCCCACGCCAAGAAATCAATGCAGAATTCATGCAGCATGTGTAAAGGCATATACTGTGCGTATGCATGTGTACGTATGTATATCAATGTTGTCCTCACATGTCCCTTCATTTGTTCAACACACCAAACATATGCTTTGTCATGTTTTGTCTGTCAATATGTATTTCACTAATACTATATACAACAATATATATATGTATGTATATACCAATATATATCAATGCATATATATTTGTTGGATCATGCACACAACAGGGTCTTTCCGCCAGAGGCATGACCCAGTTGCTGCCATATCTTATCTGCATCAATTGAGACTTGGGATTGCAGAGACGCTGCAATTCTCATTAACACTTAATAGAGACTATGTTGCGACTTTTGCCAACAGTGCTGTTGGATGCCACGTCCTCATTTTCCCTGTCAGTAGCTGGCTTCTCCACAACTGGCTCGTGACCTGCTGAAAGGCCTGAAGCAGTCATGGCCAACAAAGGATAGAACAAAGGAAGAAACTCACAAACAGGGTACACCTCACACCACTAGTGAAACATATGTGAAACATTGCTAATCAGAATTTTTGCCGTTCAATGGCCACAACTTTGGGTATATAGTATACAGCATACCCTATGGGTATTGCTGGACGTTCCCGCTGACACTGCCTTCAGCCGGAGCGCTGTGCAGCGGTGCAAGTGTCACCTCCTGGGTTGTTAACCCCTGTGCCGAGTGGAAATGGAAAAATGAGATAAAGTGGCAAAAAGGTGGCAAAAAATGAGTGAAAAATCAGTGAATCAACATGATCAGAGATGATCAGAAATCGTCCATCTTCTCTCCAGTTTCCCCAAGATCCCCTTTCCAGGTGGCTCCTCTACTTGCTCCTCTGGCACTGGCTCCTCTGGCCCTGATGCAAAGCTCATAGTCTGACTCCTGCGGGTCAAGGCGCTGATCAAAGGCAAAGGGTAGACACAGACAAGACTGTTGAAGAACCCTTCCTAGCATATATATATATCATATTATATTATATTATATATTATATTATATTATATATTATATTAAAATAAATTATATATTAAATTATATATTATATATTATATCATATTATTATATTATATATTATATATTATATATTATATATTATATACTATATATTATATATTATATATTATATATTATATATTATATATTATATACTATATATTATATATTATATATTATATATTATATATTATATATTATATATTATATATTATATATTATTATATTATATATTATATATTATATAGTATATATTATATATTATATATTATATATTATATATTATATATTATATATTATATTATATTATATGATATTATATTATATATTATATTTAATTTTAAATTACATTATATTATCTATCATACTATATATTATATTATTATTATATATATTATATTATTATATATATTATATTATTATTATATATATTATATTATTATTATATTATTATGCTTTTATATTATATTATTATGCTTTTATAATATATTATATTATATTATATTATATTATATTATATATATATTATATTATATTATATTATATGTAATACTGTATATATAATATTATAATACATATATATATATATATTGTTAGTAATAATAAATATTATATATATATATATATGTATATGTATATGTATATTACATGCATAAATAACCATGCATAACCATGCATAACCGCAAATGATAGTCAGTACTGCAGGATATTCTCCCCAATGCTGGTTGTTTCTCTCTCATTCTTTGCTCCCAAGCCATTGCTGCGAAAAAGATCAAGAAAGCAAACCCGTTGGATCTTTGATGATTTTTGATGTTCTCTTTTGGAGACAATTTGTTCCATCTCGGTACGACTATCACTGCGTCCTGTTGAGGATTTGGATTGAGATGCGACGACCATGTGCGGCCCCTGCGGTTGGAGATCCAGTTGCGCTGGTCACGTCACTGGGTTGCTCTGGCTCTGGGATGATTTCGGCCACCAACAGATCCAATGAGGAAGAGATTAGCCTCAAATCATGCACGGACATCTGGCCAAGAACACCTCAGCTGGAGACCAGGACGTCTCTGGAGAACAGCCCAGGTCACAGATCGGCACAAGATGGCACAAGATGGCACAAGCATCATGCCTGTAGAAATAAGGATGCAAATGCTTGAAATTACACGCCAAGAACACCAAACGTCCCACCACGGACAAATCTGCATATTCCGTTGGTTGATCTGTAGCTTAATTCCCCTCCAAATCAAACCAGCGAAGTCACTTTGAGGTGCATTTTGTCACGCAATCAAGGTTTGAAATGGTTGGACCACATGGAAGAACTCATCAATCGACAGCAAAGCCTGGCCTTCCATTTCTCCGGAACCCAAGCTGCCTGCCTCCCTCTAAACAGTCCCAACATTTTCACCGTGACACGCTCGATCTTTGAATTTCGCACTTTTTGAAGCTCGCCGGTGAAGAGTTGCATTTTGGCACGCAGCTCGTGGGGGAACTCCACAGGACCCAGGTTGAAGAAGACCTGGGATCGATGCCGCAAGTTGAAGGATCGATACCAGCGGCTCGATGTCATCCATATTCAAAGTCGCCAAGCACACGGCACCCTTTTCTGTGTGACGATCATTCCAACATATTCCAAATGTTGACTGATCTCTTTGAACATTTATGAGAGGAACTTTCAACTGATTAAGTACATCTTATTCACGATTGGTCCAGTAATATGTACACACGGTCGAGGTTTCGCACATGTGATGACGTTCAGAACAAACCACAGATTGTCATTTGCATCATTTGCCAGCACTTTGCGGATTCCTTTCGTTCATGTGCACAGTTTGACCCTTCCTACCCAAGTAGCTGCATCAAATGGCCCACAAGCCTCTACACTATGGGGAGACCCAAACAGAGCCCACTGTGTAGAATGAAGGCCTCCAAAAACACAACTAGTTATGTCCCCGGATCTGGCGAAAGCAGCGGCATGGTATCACTGGTAGAAAACCCAACAGCCCAGGGCAGCTCAAGCCACATTCTGCTCATGCAAAGCTCCTCCTGAGCAGAAGGGTGGTGGTACTCAAGGTCGCATCGAGTCGCGACATGATGTGACTGTAAGCTAATTTGATGAAAGGAACCCGGAAAAGATAGAAAAACATAGGGGTCCCGAATTGCTTTGGGAATTATTTTTTTCCGTTTTGCTTCTTTTTGATCTCCTGTCCTGTCCGTTTCCCTTGCTCTTTGCAGCATTTTGGAGCTGGAAACTGCCATTTCAACGGCATTTTGCAACATTTTGGAGTTCGAACCTCTCATTTTCTGTGGTATGTTCATGTCGCATGGTATTTTGCACCTAGGATTCACTTAGGGTTGGTTTGGGGTTGGTTCATTTGGGGGCTGGCTTGGATTTTTTTCGGGTTGGTTTAGATTTTTTTGGGTTGGTTTTAGGTTTATTTTTGGGTTGGTTAGGGTTTGCTTAGGCCTGGTTTAAGGTCTATTTAGGGTTTGTTGAGGATCTATTTAAAAAAAATGTTTAAGGTTTATGTAGGCTGGTTTAGGATCTAAGTGGGGAAAGTGTTCAGCTTTATTGAGGGTTTGTTTAGGGTTCACTTAGGGTTGTTTTAGTTTGTTTGGGTTGATTTGGGGTTCATGTAGGGTGGTTTAGGATCTATTTGGGGAAAGTGTTCAGCTTTATTGAGGGTTTGTTTAGGGTTCACTTAGGGTTGTTTTAGTTTGTTTGGGTTGATTTGGGGTTCATGTAGGGTGGTTTAGGATCTATTTGGGGAAAGTGTTCAGCTTTATTGAGGGTTTGTTTAGGGTTCACTTAGGGTTGTTTTAGTTTGTTTGGGTTGATTTGGGGTTCATGTAGGGTGGTTTAGGATCTATTTGGGGAAAGTGTTCAGCTTTATTGAGGGTTTGTTTAGGGTTCACTTAGGGTTGTTTTAGTTTGTTTGGGTTGATTTGGGGTTTATGTAGGGTGGTTTAGAGTTTGTTTGTATAATCTATCTTAAGCTTGAGAAGCAAAAAGCAAGGAAAGCAGAAAAGCAGAACAGCAAAGAAGCAGAAAAGCAAAGAAGCAGGGAAAAACAGAAAAGCAAAGAAGCAAAGAAGCAAGGAAAAGCAGAAACGCAAAAAGCAGAGAAGCAGAAATCTTGGAGAATCAGACAAGCAAAGAAGCAGAAAAGCAGAGAAGTAAAGAAGCAGGGAAAAGCTGAAAAGCAAAAGCAGGGAAACAGAAATCCAAGAAGAAATCCCAAAACGGAAAAAAAACATAATTCCCCAAAAAAAATCCTCCAATAACGCAGAATTAATGTAAATTACTTCTACCTTTTGGGGGGCTGCCACTTGTACTATTTACATAGCTCAGATTTTAAGATACAGTAAAGAATTCAGGGATTGATATACCACATTTTCAGTAGTGTTTCCAGTCGTTCGTTTGTCAGCGGAGTTGACAATTTCCCACCTGTGTGCCGCTTGAAAGGAAGGTTTCTGTTCAATTTTTCCGAGCATGAATATACATGAATATACCAGATGTTTTTCAGTTTCGGCTTCCAAATTTTCCAGATATTCCCAGATAGCGAAGGGATAGCCTTAGTGTTTGCCCAACGAAGTACTCCAAGAAGATACGGGAATCGTTCATATGATTCATTTCTACTGCATTCATATGATTCATTTCTACTGCAAAGTTTGAGGCTGAGCGACCCAGTGACAACCAAAAGCCTTACAGTATTTCCAACCGACTCCAACCCTTACCAGTCGCTGATTGTTGAGGTGCTGTTCTCTAAGGTTGTCCATTCTGCCCTGGGCAGCCTACTCTGCAAGGAAGGAAATTTTCACACACATTCAACACAGTACGGAACAAGCAGCATCATCACATGGTTGCCCGCCGTAAGACTTCCCAACATAAACAGAGTAGTCGTGAGTCACGGTTGCGATGTTCACTTATCTTGAGAGATCATAGGGCCCCATGCTCATATGTCTCACCCTATCCCGACATTCCAAGCTTCTGTGGACGATGACGAAAATGACGAGCAATACCTCAGTGGCTGCGAAATTGAGACAGTACAGTAATGGACTTGGCGACTGTTGCCACATCCTGAAAAAAGCTGACCCTATTTGAAACATGTCATTGTTTGCCGGCTACGATGATCTCAAATTCCATCGCTATGACTTGTTGGCAAGCCGTGAGCCAAGAACCTGCATTGCCAACTGAACTTTTTTTGGGAGATGATATGATCTTGAACATGCCACAGTGAGAACGCATCAAATGGAGACTCGATCATTTCATGGATTGTTGTATAGGATCCCTTCAATGATGCCTGCTTGTGGACTGCTTGCAGGAGGCCACCCAATATGTCCAAAGATGCTTCTACAGTAATATGTCCAAAGATGCTTCTACAGTAATTGATAATCTGAGAACCATCAAACATTGGCCGCCAAATCTTTTTTAGATAATTATTCTGGCCTGGCCGTCATCCCACCAAAATGGGTGGTTTTACACCCCAAGGTTTGGTTGAATCCCATATGCAGCACTGGCACCAGCACAGAAATGACGGTTGCGAAGAGGGCCATGACCACCGTGGATGCTTCTTCGCCATCTTGACGGGCTGATGGCGAAACGACCACCAGGGACAGGAGACAGAGGGACCTGGCTCCGCAGATGAATCAAAAAGAAAGTAAGTCGAGCCCCCAAAAACATGTAAGTAAAATCCCACTGAAATAGTGAGAAGTTACATTGTCTATCTTTTCTGGGGGTTACTATTTACAGTAGTAATAACATCATTTTTATAACATGGAATCTCAAGAATGGGGTCAGGAAAATTATGTTTCTACTGGAAATTGGCCATTCTGGGATCAACACATGTCTTTTCCACTATCCGCACCCCACCCAACTGATGGGCTGGTCACTCTTGGCTTCTAGTACGCGCGATTTTGTGGTACCAAGAAGAGTGAACCTTGGGAAGTACGGACGACCTGAGTATGAAGAGTGCCTATAAGAATCATAAAAAGCATAGGGTAAGAATATGTACAAACATGTCTAGTAGAAGTGCGATTCGGACATGACAAATCTCAATGAATCTCGAGATGTTCATATCTCAAACTCTCCACCAGACTCCACCAGCAAGTTAATCTCCATAAATGACATCCCAATGCGAAGCAGTATGATGAAACACTGCCGTTCGCTCACAATCCCACCCTGCCAATCCAATTCTTTCTTGCCAAACCACACCAATGCGTCGAACGAATTCATAATGGGCACTTTCCACGGCCATGTGAAGGTCTGCAACAAAAGGCATATAGCCTGGGCGGGGAAGAACCGCACACCGGTGGTGGCAATTTACTGAGCATGACTTGAGACAAGTTGCCAATGTATCACGCAAAATGACCAGGAGGCTGCGTCGGACATCAAATCACCCGCGCTTGCTTCTCACAATGAGACTACGGCTTTTCTATTGGCTTGCCCTGAAAGTGTTTGAATGGGCCTAGTCTGGGTGCACAGAATACCCACCATAGAGGGGCCCACCATGGTTTCGTCACAAGTTAAGGCTCCTGCTGCTGAAACTTTGGGGAGCAAGTTCTGACATATTCTTAAAAATATAGTGTTCAATGTCGTAGACTTGTAACGTTTCACGAAACTACTGCTTCTTCACTGCTTCTTCAGAACACCGTCCGTCGCCCAGACACCCATACATAGACTTTGATACATGTCTATAGCCTACGTCCCTGAAAATCGTGTGAAGCCAGATCGGTTCAAGCATTAATCGGCTCCAGACAAGCAGCAAAACAGAAGCATAGTGTGTATACTTGCACTGCTGTCTGGTCCGCCCAGAGCAAAATGACCAATGCTAAGCTTGGACCTGTTGAGAAACGCCCTGCACTTGGATTCAAACCCGGTCATCATTGCTACTTGTGGTGGTCAATCAAACTTGTTACGTGGTACACAAGGGCAACTATGGCTTCCCTTGGCCAAGTGTACGTACAGGAAGCGCAGATTTCTTGCACCGGAATAGAAGGTTGACAAAGACTGGCAGAATCTGGTTCCATCTGCGTTGCTGGGTCTTACACCTTGACCTATCAGTACAATCCAGTTCAGGATGAAAATGGAAGCAGCGCAACTCAGCGCAACATGCACATCACCGCCCTTCAGCACCTCGCAGCATCCAAACAACCTCAAACCACCAACTATCCACGCGCAGGCGGAAGATCAGAAATCGAAAGGATAGCACCATTTCTCGCCTGCCACAGCTAAGAGAAATAGTGCGGTGGCTACAAAAAAGACTGGGGATGGGGATGGAACTCGCTTCAATATTGTTTGCTGAAGAATCTGGTAGGGTACACCAAAAATACAGCCCTTGTTGAGATTCCCTGATTAGCCATGTTGGGATAGTTTGGTTTCCCATTGAATCCCATTAAATCTCATTAAATCACCATATCCAAATTCATCCAGTCTCATTCCAAGGCGGCCTCCTTTGTATCATCCAGGAAGGCAAGCAACATACTCCGTAGACACAAACGACCCAGAAACCCGCCACGTACAACGTGAGCATAACAAGACCTGCAAAGATCTGCCAAGATGTGCCAAATCTGTCAAAAACTATTTTTTGGATTTGAACATCTGACCAACTTTGGAGAAAACAGCGAAGAGCGAGCTGATTGACATCTGTTGGGCCAAGCAGTATTGTGGCAAAGGAACACGTTCATGGTCCAAAATGTCCAAACCAACAAATGGATGTAGAGACAGCATGGAGTCTGGTCTGCTGCAATTTATGTATTGAAGACAAGTTTGCATGTCCGCGTATGCCTGGGTACGGGTACCTGCGTACACATGTAGCAGGTACGCACATTGGACATAAACACCAGGGGATGGATAAGTACTGCATGGAAAAATGATTTTTTTTTGGATTCATGCTCACCATATTCATGCATGTGGATGCAAATATTCGCAAATGTGTCCGTATCTGTGTATATGCGCCTGTACTGTCACATTGTGTATTCATGTTTCCCTCCGCTTGCTCATCATGCATTGATTATGATTGTGGATTATGATTGTGCTTAGCTGCGCCGTGTACTTTGATCTCTTTGAAAGCTATGACTTTGGGCGCATCCGCTTTTGGGCTGGAAGTTTTCGCGCAAAGAGAGCGACCAAAGTTCCAATGGAACCGTCTTCAATTCGGAGACCTACTGGCCGGAAATAGCTGGAATCTGCCGGCCTGCCGGCGTGTCTGATTGGAAGGTGTTGTTCCTGTTTCTGTTCTTGGCTTGTGTTGGTTCCTTTGATCTCTTGCTACGCGTTTTTGCTTCGTCTGAATCGTGTCCACCCTCCCCCTTGTTTTTGTTTTGACTTGAATCCTACGTGGGTACTGCATGAGTATTGAGCACTTTTATATGCGCCCTTCAAGGCTCAAGAGAGAGATATAGAGTAACCCTGTGGACACCGCGCCGACTGGCAATACGCCGTGAGTAAAAGGGTGTGAAGCTGTCTTGGGAAGACGCTCTAGCTGATCTATACTAGACGCTAGTGCCCCTCTTCAAGTGGTAGCGGAGCTGTGATCCTTCATTGAAGATGAGCCCCAGGAAGAGCCCAAAAATGTCTCGCCATGGCTGTGATGATGATGACTTCGACATTGTCGACGCAGATGGATGGAATCAATATGACTCCTATGCAATGAGAAGAGCACCTCAGCAGCCCTCAGTCCATATGACGCAGCAGATGACCACGAAGGTAGCCCCTGCATATGATGGGAGAAACAGCTTCTTTGCATTTGAAGATGCCATTGATGACTGGTGTGACATCACGGATCTAGAACCTGAGAAACGTGGACCAGCTTTGCGAAATCGACTGGAAGGAGAGGCTCAGCAATACTAGGGGTTATTAGATAGAGAAATGCTCAGGGATCCCCATGATGGAGTCAACTACTTCAAAATATTTCTACGACCTCATTTCATCAAAGGTGCCAAAAACGGGTTCTTATACTGTTTCATGCAATTCATGAAGTACAACAGAGGAACTATGGATCTTCAGAAGTGGGTGACTAGATTTCAACTGACTGGAAACAGATTTATTGAGTCTTGGATGGATTTGATACCAGACCTGTTGATGACTACCCTAGAAGCAATCCTGTATGTTCAACAACAACGACAAGATCATGAACGAGATCAAAATGAACGAGCACAAGTTGCAGCAGCTACACCAGGCGCAGATCCTCATGTCGTGATCCCCTGGACAGATGAAATGGCATTAGTTGCATTCAGACAACTCAATGAGAACAGACGACAACAGCAGAGACAGGCATTCCCTTTGGGAGAAAATTTGCTAGCATTGATTTTTGTAAGTCTAGCAGACCTGACTCAAGATCAGAGAAACACGCTCACAAGTATCATGACACATCGTGGCCGAACACTCGATCAGTACAATGTGCAAGAACTCAGAGATCTATTCTTGGAAATGTTTTGCACTACAAAGACGGCAGTAGACAATCCAATGATGCAACCCTCTGCCATGGCACAGAGAAGATCTTTCCTCGTTCTGGATGAAGGTGAATTAGAAGGAACCGACGGCTATTGGGCCGAAGATGATGAAGACAGCGCAGAAGGATTCCTGGATGCTTTAGAAGATGTTTTCTCGGTTTATGATGACGCTGACTACACATGGTATCAGAGAAGGTTCCAAGGCAGACAGACCAGACGAGGCAAAGGTAAAGGAAAGAGAAAAGGAAAAGGAAAAGGCAGAGGAGGACGAAGGTTCTTCAGATCAAGGAAAGGAAAAGGCCGAGGAAAAGGAAGAAGGAAAGGCCGCTCTCACATGGTGAGTGAAGAAGGATATGATGAGGAATGGAATGAAGATGAATGGAATGATTCTCATGAAGGCTATTGGGCCGATGATCAAAACTGGAATGAAGGCTATTGAGCCTATGATGATCTGTACTACCTCGATGAGTATGGATACTTCCAGAAGAAAGGAAAAGGAAAAAGGAAAAGGAAAGAAAGGCAAGAAAGGCAAGGATGATGATGGCAAAGGAGGAAAACCAGGAGATGGCAAAGGTAAGTCCAACTATGTTCAACCTCAGACCACGTCAACTCCTGCCCTACAGAACCAACAACAGCAACAAGCTCATTATTCTTCTGCAGCATCAAGCTCTGGTCATGGTTTCTTTGCATTGCAGAGACTGAACCAGCACGTGTGGATGCCTTAGCAGCCACTTATGCAGAACAAGAAGAACATCGACGCACTTGTCGAGGAGGACAAAACCAACGTGATGCAACAGCACAGCTCAACAGGAGAGAACTCACAAGGTTCCCTGTGCTAGTTGGAGATCTTGATGCACTTCGACAAGGTGTACAACGACGTCCAGCTCCTGTGCCTAGACAATTTGGTTTACAAGAAGGTGAGGCTTCATGGAAGCCATTGGCAAAAGGCACGGCATTGTTTTCATATTGACACTCTGTAGAGGCAGAGATACCATCTCATCCTGAAGGCTCTGTACAGACAGAGGAATCAGATGAGCAGCCGAGTGCTTTTTCATTTCATATCAGGCAACCTGATCTGGCATGTGAGAATGGGTTAGCGGTTAGCTTTTCACACAGAGAATTCTGCACCACCAACTGTATGTATCCTAGATCTCGGATGCACAAGAGCTATGGGCTCTCCACGCGCAGTTGAAGCATTTTGGAGATATGTTGGTTCACATCCCAACAGTGGTCTCTGGTATGAAATTCAGCCAACAAGTTCAAGATTCTTCTTTGCAAATTCACAACATCCAAGTGTACTGAGAAGCTTGTGATATTCATGTATGACAATGGATGGAACACTCAGTTCACAGAATTCGACATTGTCGAAGAAGGTGATGTCCCATTTTTGATGTCACTTCCACAGATGAGAAGCCTTGGATTCCAATTTGAACTTACTCCAGAGAAGGCTTGATTGTCCTGCGCACGTATTGGCATGAGAAAAATGGTCTTGAAGACAGCCATTAGTACTCATCTCATTCTCGATTTACAAAACATTGCATGGTACATGAGCCAAGTTCATTTCAAGACTCCACAAGTCAAGAGTTTCTTCTCACAACACGATCACTTTGAGTACAGCCAGATTGCTGTGAAACAAGATGTTCAAGGAGAAGAAGAAGCTCTGGTGACCGGTGACTACTGGCAAGTCGATGGACTACGTCGTGAACTCATCAGGCATCACAAGGACAAGAGAATGAACTTACATGAGATGAATAGATCAGGCAAGACTCCAATTCCAAAAGATCAACTTCTTGATGAGAGAGAGACTCACATTGAGTACCAGAAGAGCAAGAAGAAGGCTCTACACAAGGACAACTGGCGCACTGAGAAGAAGAGATTTTCTGAACAGAGCGAAGAGTACTGGAAGGGCAAAACGATCTACAAGATCAAGGAGGACTACGTGATCCCTGATGACGTCATCAGAAGTGACCTTGATCGAGCCAAGCCTTTCTGTGGAAACATAGATGACTTCTTTCACCCTACAGAGAGAGGCAGGCAAACCGATTTCGGGAGGACCAAGCTTGAAAAAGATTGAGGTAGGTCGAGACACGTAGGTAAGCAGAAACGAAAGGTTGTTGATGACTCTCAAGGAGGTTCATCCAGAAGGAAGGTTGTTGTTTCCTATCCCAAGCTTGATGAAGAAGATGATTTTGAAAAGATAGCTAGGGAGTTGGGATTGGAGAAACCTGACTCAGATGAACCTCAGGTCACTGAATCCAAATCTTCTGCACCTGCGCGTGTTCGTGGTAAGCAAGATTCAGAAAGTCAACTCGAGAAACTAGGTAGTGAAGCTCTTGAGCCTAGGCGGGTTTCTGTTCCACTGCCTGGTAGTGAAGTGCAAGCCATGACACCAGCATACAGAAAGATGCTCAGGAAACTGGAGGACAGTGTGGAACTTTACAAACTTCATGTCAAACACTATCCTATGTCTCCTACTCAATTCAGACGAAGGACTTCCGTGTTAGGACTTCCTGACTCTGTTTATGAAAAGTATGAAGACATATACAACGAGCGTCGTGTGTGTGTAGTACTTCCATCGCGCCACCGCCAAGAGCCAGGGTTTCAGGCATTAGATCCACCAACTTTGGAGATGTTATCTTTGTTGACCATGCTGAAATCCAGTTGAGGAAGAGCAAGTACGTGGTGTTGCTTGTTCTTGATGGTGCATCAAACTTACTTTGGGCTACGGCACAATCCTCACTGAACAACAAAGAGACTATTCAAGCTCTAAGGTCGTGGAGTGATGAAAACAACTGTATGCCTAAAGCCGTTGTTGGCGATGAAGCCTTTTTCCAAGAAGACTTTCTGACTTATTACCGAACTCATGGTATTAAGGATTGTCCTTGTGGTTCCAGAACACCATGGCCAAACAGAGCTGAATCAGCTGTCAGACTTTTCAAACGACAATGGCAAATCATGTCAAAGAACCTGGAAGATGATAGGTTCAAAGGAGTGACAATTAGAGAAGCTGTGAAGCGTACTGTTTGGGCCACAAATACTCAACTCACTGTTAGTGGCTATTCACCTTTGGAAATTGCCACTGGTAGA